TCGGGTCGCCACGAGCAGTCCCCCCCGCGTCCACATTCGGCTGGTTCCGGGGGACGGCGGGGCTGGCGGAAGGGCGGAGGGCGAGGTGGGAATGGCAACCAGCCTGATCCAGCCCTCGATCATGCTGCGGACACGTTCGTGGAGGTGGTGAGGCAGGCCCGGGCGAGTGGGGCGCCGACTCACGTCCATATTGAGGTGACCAACGGTCCCCCCTTCGCCGCGGACCCAGGCCAGGTCGCTCCTCTGCGTGCGCCGACGCTGCGCGAGTATCAGCCCGCGCGTGAGGGGAGGGCTCTGTTCCGCACCCCCCGTCAGGTTCCCGGCTTCTCTGCGCCGCGCTTGGCTGTTGGCCGGACTCCTGGCTGGCCGGCGGCGTTTCCGCGCGAAGCGCAGACTCCACCTCTCCCCACTCGCGCGGGGAGAGACCCCATGCTGACCATGTGCCGGGTTCTGAATCTGGCGGAGGCGTGCGAGGTGGTGGCGAACTTGCAGCTGGCGGTGTGTGGGGCCACGAGGAGCTTTCCGAGCAGTTTTGGTCCAGGGACCCGAGGATCCTGCGTGACTTTGGCAGAATCACTCGAGTCGCCGTTGGCACCCGTGTCGGACGCGCCCGCCGGGGTAGCTCCCTTGGCCCGTACTTTCCCCCGCCACGTGGGGGATCTTGTAGGGGCTGCTCAAGCCGGGACCACCTTGGACACGCTCCAGTCGTCGGCGCATCTCCTTCTTGCGTTGTCGGCGTGCATGCGCTCGATGCTTGAGGTGGAGGGGGCGGAGCCGTACACGATGTAGGCCTCCGCCGTGTGTAGAATTGCATGCCGCGCCTCTTGCTCCTGCCCAGCTCCTTGCCTTTGTGTGTGTGTGTGCCCAATATAAGCCGATCCTCCGTTTTGTGTCTTGCCACCAGAAACGCGCGGCCGAAGGCCGCCGGCGCGAGCCGCGGAAAACTGAGAACACACGAAATAATGAGGAGAAGAAGGCACCAAGGGCCCTTAAATAGGCTCAGAGGAAGAGGGCCGAGGGAAGAGGAAGAGGGCTGGGTGCTAAGTCCTCTCTCTCTCTCTCTCTCTCTCTCTCTCTCTCTCTCTCTCTCTCTCTCTCTCTCTCTCTCTCTCTCTCTCTCGAACGGTCTTTTGTATTAATTCAGCAGGGGTACAAACATGCGGTGCTATCCATGATAACCTCCATCCCTTAAGCCCCAAAACTCACCACTCTTCACCCCCCCCTGAGTAACCCTCTAGCCCTCCAGCGTGTGGAGGATGTCCCCCAGGTGCAGCGGCCAGGGGTCCGCTGCCATCTGGGGGTGCGCTGCCTCGATCCCAGCCCTGGCCTTGGTGTGCAGGGCATTCGCTTGGGAGCGCTGGAGGGCCACTGACCAGCGCTGGCTGAAGTGGCAGGCCATCTTCTTGGCCGATTTCGCCAGGGGGTTGGCCCTGAACCGGTTCCTAGCTGCTGCTGTGGCCAGCAGCTTCAGGAACGCAGTCGTGGTGGGCGCGTTTGCCCCGTAGGTCTCGACGGCTAGGGTGCAGAACACCACGTGTTCCGTGTGTCGGTAGTACTCCCTCTCCTTCCGCCTCTGTGCCTCTCTAGCAGCCCAGCCTGGGGTCCTTGCATTACTATGAGGGGTGGTACAAAGGAAGATGCAGAACACACAAGCACAACAAACATCCAAACCGAGATCCGAACTACCTCAAGTCTCCTACCTACTCAGCCCCCCCCCCTCTGTCCGACCCTACTGGTCGAACGGGGCCTCAATCAACTGGTGCAGCTGTCCCTCACTGAGAGGGATGATGGGTCCTCTAAAGCCGAGCTCGTCCGCCGCCAAGGCCTCGTTGGTCTTGGTGCGGAGGGCGTTGGCCTGCGCCCGCTGGAGGCACACGCTCCAGCGCTGGCGGTACTCCGTCAGCAGCTTCGCTGCTTCGTAGGAGGTAGGAGCCGCGTTAAACCGCAGCTTTGCCGCCAGCTCTGCGCACTGCCGCAGGTAAGCCATCAACCCCGGCGAGGGGTAGCCATAAGTTTCCACTGCAAGCGCGTGGAACCCCACCCACGCGTTCCGCCGTGCGTACTTATCCTCCTTTTTCTCTGCTGCCGCCCTGGCCGCCCATCCAGGAGCTCGGTTGCAGTTCTCGTCCTGCCTTGACACCGGGTCCGTCACGGTCACGTCGCACATCCAAACCTCACCAGTCAGGGGATGACGGATGGTGACATCCGCCTTTAGGTTTTCAACCAGTGAGTAGACATACGTCTCCTTGTGAACCGTAAACCCCGCCTCCGCCCCAATGTTCGCTATCTCATCCCGCAAAGCGTGGTGGGTTGCGGTCCTCCCTTTCCCCTTCTCGCAGCGCATGAGGTGGTTGGGGAGGCGGTCGTCGGGGAAGGTGGTGCGGTAGCGGCAGTCACAGCGTCTAGGCACTAGGAGGGGGAGGCCTAGGCGGAAGGCAGCTGCAGTTGAGAGCTGGGACGGGCCCATCCGGAGCGAGGGGGTGAGCGGGATCGCCAGCAGCCAATCCCCCGCGCCTGGGCCCAGCACCGACTGCATTCGTTGCGCATGGCCAGAGCGGGGGTTGGGGCGCATCCGCCTCGCCTCGCGCATGACTCTCAGGAAGCGGCGGGAGTGAACCGCCAGTGCTAGGTTCTGCTGCAGCTTCAGTCCCTTGGGGTCAGCCTTCCCGGCCTGGAGCACCTCGAGAGCCTCGGGGGCAGGGCTGCCTCAGCCGCGGCGAGGCGTGTAGGTAGCGCGTGTGGGGAGCCGTGGGTTGGATCCAAAAGGGGGAGGAGCGCGGCGACAGCGGGGTGCAACGAGTCCTCCAGGGAGTGCAAGAGGTGGGCTGTGCTGATCACTGAGGCGAGGTAGGCATAGCTGCCTTCAACGGCGGGGTCAGTGATGCCCAGGCCTCCCAGAGTCACGGGCAGGGCCGCCTGCCGCCAAATCCTCCGTCTCTCCCTGGCGCTCCTCGGCCTCATGATGTGGGCCGAGTCTAGGAAGGTGTGAAGGAGTTGTTCCCCCCAAGCGGACCATTCGGCTTCAAGGAGGGCCTCTACGGGGGTGGTTCTGGCCAGGAAGGAAGCTCGGCGGCTGACACAACGGGTGAGGAGGAGGAGGGCAAGTTGGGGGTCCATCTGGGCCAGCAGGGGGAGAGGCGCTGCTGCTGCTTCCAATCTCGCTCTCACAGCATCTGCGCAGCCTCGGGCAGTGCCCACGGGGCTGCCGAGAGTCTGCAAACCCTCCTCAGAGATAGTGACGCCTGGGGGGACTGAGGAGGCGTCGATTGCTGCGGCGGACCACGCCGCGCACTTAGCCGGATTGTGCACCAGGCTGAGGGCGGCTAAAGCAGAGGTGAGGTGGTCGAAAGCCGCAGAGCAGGCCGTGGCGTCGCCGAGCAGCGTGATATCATCGGTGTACGCCAGCAGGACCACCTGAGGGTGTGCAGCCGCCGTGTCCACGAGGCACGGGTGGATGCTAGCCGCGAACAGGAGTGGGCCGAGCGGGTCTCCTTGGCGAACACCCCTGGCGCTCTGCAGTGGGGCTGCGCCGAAGTCGTGGTCGAGGAAGAGCGAGGAGGGAGTCCCATAGGAAAGGCGGACGAGGGGAATCAGTTCCTTCAGCGCCTCGTTTTTCAGTCCTCCAAACACCGCCCTCCTTTCGACCGCGTTGAACGCATTCGCGAGGTCAATCTGCAGCGCCACTGCCCCTGGGTGCAGTTCCAGGTACGTGCGAGCGGAGTGGATAGCCGCTTCGATCCCTCCCGCTACTGCGACTCCGAACTGAAGCGGAGCAAAGTGAGTACGAGCGGCCGGCGCAGTGAGGAAGAGCGCGGCTTTTGCTATTATCCGGAGGAGGCACTCCCCCACCGCAATCGGCCGCGTCCCTCCCTGTGGTTTCATAAATGCTAACAGGCGGGATGCCGTTAGAAGATCCCCCGCGATTGTGGGGAGTTTTCTTGCTAGAGCTGTGTTAGTGAGGGCGAGGAGGTGGGTGAGTACTTCGGCGTTGCCCAGGGCTGCGTCGCGGATGTGCTCGAAGGTTGTTCCAGATGGGCCGGCCCCTACTCCGTTGGGGAGTTTGGCGAGGAAGCGTCTGAAGTCGCGAGCTTCGATAGTGGGTGGGTCTTCCGCTGTGGCGGTGCGGAGCCAGTCAGGAAGTGGTTGGCAGGCGGATGGGTGTCTCGTCGTGAGGGCTTCCAACACTTCAGGTGAGGCGGGAGACACAGGAGTGGCCTGGAGGGATTGGAGTGATTTTGATAGGTTACCCCGTTTTGCGAGTCCTTCTGCCCGTGCCAGTATCCCCGTTGTGTCGGGTGAGTGGCGAGGTTGCGGTGGCAGTGAGATCGCCTGGACAGCTTCTTCGTACAGGTCCCCCCAAAGGCCTTGGCGAAATCGCTGGAGCCGATTCATCATCGCGCTCCAGTCAGGTTTGCGGGCTGACGAGGTGCGGAGGAGTAAGCGCGGGAGAAAAGTCAGTAAGCTCCATCATGGTGGAGACTCAGGATTGGCCGCCAGGTGGAGTAACGGAGTCAACATGCAGATCGCGAAGGAGTCGCGAAGGTCTTTGGTGGGGTGGCGAGCGAGGGGAGGTTGGCGACTGTCGCGCAGCGGGTCAAGGTTCCAGTCTGCAACCTGAGCGAAAAGGTCAGTATTTTTCGCCAGGTCGTCAGGTTTGAGCGTTGGTGGGGTTGGGGAGGGGCCTGCAGAATTATCATTGGCTTCTTCAGAGTCAATTTCGTCTTCTGTCGCGGCTCGATTTCCCCCCCTTGCACGATTTCCCCCCGCTGTTCGATTTCGACCTGTGGTTCGAATTGCAGGTTCGTCCCGGGCCTGATGGTTTGGAAACTCTGCTTCCCGAAGTAGCATCTCCAATTCTTCCTCGTCCTCGGCTTCTGCTTCCAACATCCCCTCTCTTTCTGGGTTAAAAACAGGGTTACCCCCTTCGCTTTCTTCATTCTCAGCTTCGTCCTCTGCCTCCTCGCTGTGCTCCTCCTCGCCGCCTTCCACGCCTTCGCGTATTAGCCTTTCAGCAGTTCTCGCATAATCGCTTGCGCCGGTGCGGCGCCGATTTGTGCCGCGCGCTCCTCCACCTCTTCGTCCCCTCCCATTCCCTCGTCGTCCGCGGCGGCTTCTGCCGCGTCCCACGCGGATACCCCGCGTTCCTCTCCCTTCCGCGGCTCCCACGCGCCCTGCCTGCGGCGCCACGTCCACCTCGTCCTCGTTCTGTCGGCGCGCTGGCGTCGGCTGCGGTGCGGTCGGGGGTGATGGATCCATCCGCGAGACAGGATCCGGAGCTCGAGGGATCCGCAGAGAGCGCGTTGCCGGAACCTGCGCCTGGCGGTCTTCGCCCGCGTGTCCCTGCGCACCCCTCCGCAAGCGAGCCCGTCCGCCGCTTCGACCGGGTGCTGACTCTTCCCCAACGGCCTGCCCCGCGCCCCACCTCGCCGGAGTATTCGTGAGCCCCTGCGCGTGTTGCGTCGAACCGCTCGGACGGTCAGCCGCGGCAGGAGCGCGGGCGCTCGCCTCTGCGTCAGCCTCCGCGGCAGCCCTCCCCTCGGCGCCCATCTCCTGAGCATCGCAAGGCTCATCCGCGGGGTGGGGGCGATCGGCGATCCCCTGGGCGTCCTCGTTCTCCTCGCCACCCGTCTCCTCGTGGTCGGGCAGGCCAGCGCTCACCCCGAGCGCGATCCCCCGCGCAACGGTCTCCGCGGTGATCTCCAGCGACGAGGGGGAGGGGGTCGCCTGGACGTCGCTGGGATTCGGGGCGTCGCGAGCAGTCCCCCCCGCGTCCTCACTCGGCAGGTTCTGGCGGCCGGCAAGGCCGGCGGAATGGCGGAGGTCGTGGCGGTAATGGTCGCCAGCAGGATCCTGCCCTCGATCACGCCGCAGACACGTTTGTGGAGGTGGTGCGGCAGGCCCGGGTGAGTGGGGGGCCGACTCACGTCCATATAGAGGTGACCAACGGTCCCCCCTTCGTCGCGGACCCAGGCCAGGTTGCTCCTCTGCGCGCGCCGACGCTGAGCGAATATCGGCACGCGCGAGAGGGGAGGGCTCAGTTCCGCACCCCCCGTCAGGTCCCCGGCTTCTCTGCGTCGCGCTTATCTGCTGGCCGAACTCCAGGCTGGCCGACGGCGTATCCGCGCGAAGCGCCGACTGCACCTCCCCCCACTCGCGCGGGGAGAGACCCCATGCTGACCATGTGCCGGATTCTGAATCTAGCAGAGGCGTGCGAGGTGGTGGCGAACTTGCAGCTGGCGGTGTGTGGGGCCACGCGGAGCCTTCCGAGCAGTTTCTGTCCAGGATCTCGAGGATCCTGCGTGACTTTGGCAGAATCGCTCGAGTCGCCGTTGGCACCCGTGTCGGACGGCCCGCCGGGGTAGCTCCCTTAGCCCGTACTTTCCCCCGCCACGTGGGGGATCTTGTAGGGGCTGCTCAGGCCGGGACCCCCTTGGACACGCTCCAGTCGTCGGCGCATCTCCTTCTTGCGTTGTCGGCGTGCATGCGCTCGATGCTTGAGGTGGAGGGGGCGGAGCCGTACACGATGTAGGCCTCCGCCGCGTGTAGAATTGCATGCCGCGCCTCTTGCTCTTGCCTGCCCCCTTGCCTTGTGTGTTTGTATGCCCTTTATATGCCGAACTCGCGTCTTGTGTCTTGCCACCCCTAATGCGCGGCCGAAGGCCGCGCTTGCGAGCGGCGGCGGCCTTCGGCCGCCGGCGCGAGCCGCCGAATGTGAAACACCAACGAAATAATGAGGTAGGGAAGGCACGGAGGGCCCTTTAAATAGGACCAGAGGGAGAGGGCAGAGGGAAGAGGGACGCCGAATGTGAAACACCAACGAAATAATGAGGTAGGGAAGGCACGGAGGGCCCTTTAAATAGGACCAGAGGGAGAGGGCAGAGGGAGGAGGGAGAGGGCTGGATGCTAAGGCCTTCTCTCTCTCTCTCTCTCTCTCTCTCTCTCTCTCTCGAACGGGCCTTGGTATTAATGTCAGCGAGGTACACAGATGGTAAGGCTACAGCAATCTCACGGCCAGGCTACAGCAAAACAGCAGCTAACCCCGCACTATCCCAGCCCCAGCCCCCCCCTCCCCGCCCGGCCCTAATGGCCGGAGGGGTCTTCTATCAACTGATACAGCTGCCCTTCACTCATTGGAGTAAACGGGCCCTGCAGGCCGAGCGCATCCGCCGTGAGGGCCTCATGGGTCTTATCCCTGAGGGCAGTGGCTTGCGCTCTCTGCAGGGTCACACTCCACCGCTGCCGGTACTCGGTGAGTAGCTTGGCGCATTCCCTCGACTTGGGGGTGGCGTTGAACCGCCGCATGGCCGCTAACTCCGCGCAGCTGCGAAGGAATTCCAGGACTCCACTCGAGGGGTAACCGTAGGTCTCAACCGCCAAGGCGTAAAAGCCCACCCAAGCGCTCCGCCTGGCGTATTTGCTTGCCTTCTTGTCCGCCTGCATTCTAGCAGCCCAACCGGGAGCTTTACGGGCGTATTCATCCTGGTGGGAGACGGGGTCCGTGACCGTGATGTCACAGATCCACACTTCACCGGTGTCGGGATGGCGGATAGAGATATCCGCTTTGAGGTTTTCGACCGGTGAGTAAGCCGTTGTCTCCTTATGCACGGTGAAGCCCGCTTCCGCAGCTATCTTTGCGCACTCGTCCCGAAGGGCATTGTGGGTTGCAATTCTCCCCCCCCCTTTCTCGCACCGCATCAAATGGTTCGGTAGGCGGTCGTCGGGGAATGTGGTGCGGTATCTGCAGTCGCAGCGCCTTGGCACAGGTAGGGGGAGGCCTAAGCGGAAGGAGGCCGCTGTGGAGAACTGAGAGGGCCCGAGGCGGAGGGAGGAGATCAGCGGGACGGCGAGCAGCCAGTCCCCTGCGCCGGGGCCCAAGAGGGACTGCAGCCGCTGCGTGTGTCCGAACAGTGGGTTGAGCTCCATCTCCCGCGAGCTCTCGAGCAGTTGCATGAACCTTGCAGTTTGAACCGCGAGGGAGAGCGACTGTTGGAGCTTTGGCCCGTCCGGTCTCTGTCTCCCCACTTGGAGGGCCTCGATCCCCTCAGGAGGCAGCGCGGCTTCTAGGGCAGCAAGGCGCCTTGGGAGGAGGGACGTAGATTCCTCGTTGGAGTCCATTAGCGGCAGCAGTCCAGTGAGAGCAGGGTTTGCCGCGTCGCCGAAGGTTCGCAGCAGGTGTGCAGCAGCAGTGACTGCAGCCAGGTAGGCATGTCCCCCCTCCACTGCAGGGTTGGTGATGCCCAGGCCTCCTAGGGACGCGGGCAGGGCGGCCTGGTGCCAAATCCTCTCCCTCTCGACCCGGGCTCTGGGGGTTTCTGTGTGTGCTGCGGCAAGGTAGGTATGGAACAGTTCTTCCCCCCAGGCGGACCATTCCCTCAGCGGTAGGGCTTCAAGCGGCGTGGCTCTGACCATGAACGAAGCGCGGCGGCTCACGCAGCGGGTAAGTAGGAGCAGGCAGAGTTGCGGGTCCATCTGGGAGAGGAGCGGGAGCGGTTCAGCAGCAGCTTTAAGGCGTTCCCGCACTCGGGCAGCGCAGCCGGCGGGGGGCCCAATCGGGCTGCCCAAGACGCGGATCCCGTCCCGGGAGATAGTGACGCCGTGGGGCAGAGCGGCGGGCTCCAGGGCTGTGGCGGACCATGCTTCGCATTTCGCGGGGTTGTGGGACAGGCCGTGGCTGAGAAGTGCTTCCGTGAGGTGGTTGAAGGCCGCCGTGCAGCTCGCAGTCTCGCCTAGCAGGGTGATGTCATCTGCGTACGCGAGGAGGACCACCTCTGGGTGGGCCGTCGCCGTTGCAGCGAGACAGGGATGGATGCTGGCCGCGAACAGCATAGGCCCCAGTGGGTCACCCTGGCGCACGCCTCGCGCGCTCTGTAGAGGCGCCGCCTCGAAATCGTGGTCGAGGTAGAGGGCTGATGGGCGGCCGTATGAGAGGCGGACGAGGGGGACCAGGGTGTCAAGCTTCGTGCCTTTCAGGCCTTCAAACACCGCCGCGCGCTCCACGGCATTGAAAGCGTTTGCCAGGTCGATCTGGAGGGCCGTTGCTCCGGGGAACTCCTCCAGGTAGGTGCGGGCCGCGTGTATCGCTGCCTCGATGCCCCCCGCGATCGCCACACCGAATTGTAGCGGGGTGAAGTGGTCGCGCGCTGCAGGGGCGGCCAGGAAGAGCGCCGCCTTTGTGACAATACGCAGCAGACATTCGCCCACGGCTATTGGCCTAGTTCCGCCTTGGGGTTTCGTGAAGGCGAGCAGGCGCGAAGCGGTGAGTAGATCTGCAGCCTCGGCGCTCAGTTTACCCGCTAGCGCCGTGTTGGTAAGCGCGTGCAGTTGTAGGAGGACGTCGGTGTTCCCAAGGGCCGCATCTCTCAAGTGCTCGAAGGTAGTCCCTGATGGCCCAGCCCCTACGCCGTTGGGGCAACGGGCCAGCAGCTTCCTGAACTCGCGAGCTGTGATTGAGGGCAGAGTCTCAGGGGCAAAGTCTTGCACCCAGACTGGGATGGCTGCGGTGGCCCTTGGGTGCCTGGCCGTGAGCGCAGCCAATACGTCAGGGGTTGGCGAGCAGACGGGCGTGGCAGTTAGCGACTGGAGGGACTTCGCCAGGTTTCCCCTTTTCGCTAATCCCTCGGCTCTCGCCAGCTTTCCCGTGGTGTCAGGTACGTGGCGTGGTTGGGGGTTGTTGTTCACTGCTTCTGCCGCCTCGTCGTAAAGGCCGCGCCACTGCCCTTGGCGAAATCTCGTCAGTCTGTCGCCCATTGCCTTCCAGTCTGGTTTTCGTGCAGATGACGAGCGCAGGAGAATTCGCGGGAGAAACATCAGCAGCTTCCAACCAGGAGTGGAATCAGGGGTTATGGCGAGGTGCAGAAGTGGGGTCAGCAGGCAGATGGCGAAGGATTCGCGAAGTGGGCGAGGAGGGTGGCGGGCAAGGGGAGGCTGTCTGCTGTCGCGTAGCGGGCCGAGGTCCCAGTTGGCGATGTCAGCGAAAAGGTCTTGACGTCTTGCCAGGATGTCAGCGCTGATGATTGGGGCGGGGGTGGCAGGCGTTGGGCCCGCGTTACTGGCTGGGGCGGTGGTAACCGCAATGTTGGGGGCGGTTCGGTTTGGTCTCGCGGTCCGATTTCTGGGGGTTGGGGTTGCAGATGCGGCTCGGCCCAGGTTTGGGATTTGCCCCACACCTTCGGATCTGGTTTGGTTGGCAGGAACGCCTCGGGCACGTGGGCTGGGGACCTCCTCTCCTTGGAGTAGGCGATCCAACTCCTCGTCATCCTCCTCGACTTCAACCCCTAACAACCCCTCTCTTTCAGGGTTAAATAAGGGGTCCCCCTCGTCACTTCTCTCATTCTCCGTAGCCTCCTCAGCCTCCTCGCGAAGTTCCTCCTCGCCGCCTCTCGCGCTCTGACGTATCAGCCTCTCCGCGTTTCTCGCGAAGCCGCTGGCTCCTGTGCGGCGTCTGTTCGTGCCCCGCGCACCGCCGCCTCCCCGTCCCCGCTCGCTACCCCTTCGTCCGCGGCGACTGCCGCGTCCGACGCAGATTCCGCGCGTTGCTCTTGCTACTGCGACTCCCTCGCCCCCCGCCAGCGGCGCCGCGGTCGTCTCGCCTTCCCTTCGTCGGCGCGCTGGCATCTGCTGCGCTACGGTCGGGAGTGATGGACCCGTCCGCAAGACGGGATCCGGAGCTTGAGCATTCCGCGGAGAGCGCGCCGCGGGAGCCTGCGCCTGCCGAGCCTCGGCCACGACTGCCTGCGCATCCCTCCGCAAGCGAGCCCGTTCACCGATTCGAGCGGGTGCAGACTCTTCCCCATCAGCCAGCCTCGCGCCTCTCCCCCCCTGAGTATTCGTGGGCTCCTGCGCGTGTAGCGTCGAACCGTCCTGACGGTCAGCAGCCGCAGCAGCGCGGGCGCTCGCCTCAGCGTCATCCCCAACGGCAGCCGTCTCCTCGTCGCCTATCTCCCGCGCGTCGCGAACACTATCAGCGCAGGGAGGGGGATCCGCGCTCCCCTGAGCGTCCTCGCTCTCCTCGGCGCCCGTCTCCTCGTGGTCGAGCAGGCCAGCGCTCACCCCGAGCGCGATCCCCCGCTCAACAATCACCTCGGCGAGCTCCGGCGACGCGGGGGAAGGGGTCGCCTGGGCGTCGCTGGGAATCAGGTCGTCGCGAGCCGTCCCCTCTGCGTCCGAATTCGGGTGGTTCCGCTGGGCGGCGGGGCCGGCGGAATGGCGGAGGGCGCGGCTCATCTGGCCGCCAGCCGGATCCTGCTCTTGATCACGCTGCGAACACATTCGTGGATGTGGTGCGGCAGGCCCGGGCGAGCGGGGGGCCGACTCACGTTCACATCGAGGTGACAAATGGCCCTCCCTTTGCCGCGGATCCCGGCCCGGTGGCCCCACTGCGCGCGCCGATGTTGGCCGAGTATCTGCCCGCGCGGGTGGGGAGACCCGACTATCGCTCCCCTCGTCAGGTTCCTGGCTTCTCCGCTGGGTGCTTGACTGTTGGCCGCGTTCCTGGCTGGTCGGCGTCGTTTCCGCTCGAAGAGCAGACTGCACCTCACCCCAATCCCGTGGGGAGAGACCCCATGCTGACCATGTGCCGGTATTGAATCTGGCGGAGGCGTGCGAGGTGGTGGCGAACTTGCAGCTGGCAGTGTGTGGGGCCACCCGGAACTTTCCGAGCAGTTTCGGTCCAGGATCCCGAGGATCCTGCGTGACTTTGGCAGGATCGCTCGAGTCGCCGTTGGCGCCCGTGTCGGAAGCGCCCGCCGGGGTAGCTCCCTTAGCCCGTACTTTCCCCCGCCACGTGGGGGATCTTGTAGGGGCTGCTCAGGCCGGGACCCCCCTGGACGTGCTCCAGTCATCGGCGCATCTTCTTCTTGCGGTATCGGCGTGTATGCGCTCGATGCTTGAGATGGAGGGGGCGGAGCCGTACACGATGTAGGCCTCCGCCGCGTGTAATATTGCATGCCGTTCTCTCTTGCCTAGGCTCTGCTCCCTTGATTCCTGTGCATGCGTGTTTCTCCTGGAATAGCAGTCCACTGCCTTGTTCCTTGCCACCAGGAGCGCGCGGCCGAAGGCCGCGCTGGCGAGCGGCGGCGGCCGAAGGCCGCCGGCGCGAGCCGCCGGAAATGAACTCCACACGAAATAATGAGGAGGGGGAGAGAGAAACAGCCCTTAAATAGCTCTGGAGGGCGGAGGGCAGAGGGGTGAGGCAGAGGGCAGGGGGCTAAGGGGTATCCTCTCTCTCTCTCTCGCTCTCTCCCGCCGGAAATGAACTCCACACGAAATAATGAGGAGGGGGAGAGAGAAACAGCCCTTAAATAGCTCTGGAGGGCGGAGGGCAGAGGGGTGAGGCAGAGGGCAGGGGGCTAAGGGGTATCCTCTCTCTCTCTCTCTCTCTCTCTCTCTCTCTCTCTCTCTCTCTCTCTCTCTCTCTCTCGAATGGTCCTAGTATTGATTGATGGGAGATACATGGGAAGATGCAAACACATGCAAACCCAGACATAACACTCGGTCTACCTAACTACCTCATTCCCTTACTCCCTCCCGCCCCTTCCGTCCGACCCTAAAGGTCGAACGAGGGCTCTATTAGCTGGTAGAGCTGGCCTTCGCTAAGGGGGGCAAAGGGGCCCCGCATGCCGAGCTCGTCCGCTGCTATCGCCTCGTTGGTCTTGCAGCGGAGGGCGTTGGCTTGTGCTTTTTGGAGGCACATGCTCCAGCGCTGGCGGTATTCCGTCAGCAGCTTGGCGGCCTCGTAGGAGTTGGGGGCTGCGTTGAATCGCAACTTGGCCGCCAGCTCCGCGCACTGCCGCAAGAATGCCAACACCCCGGGCGAGGGGTACCCATATGTCTCTACCGCTAGGGCATGAAAGCCCACTCACGCATTCCGGCGCGCGTATTTCTGCTCCTTCTTGTCCGCAGCTGCCCTAGCCGCCCACCCCGGTGCTCTATTGCAGTTCTCATCTTGGTGAGAAACGGGGTCCGTCACTGTCACGTCGCACATCCAAACCTCTCCCGTCCGGGGATGGCGGATTGCGACGTCCGCCTTCAGGTTTTCAACGAGAGAGAATACATAGGTTTCTTTGTGCACCGTGAATCCCGCCTCTGCCGCAATCAAAGCAATCTCGTCCCTGAGCGCATGGTGAGTCGCAATCCTTCCCCCCCCTTTCTCGCAGCGCATGAGATGGTTTGGGAGGCGGTCATCAGGGAATTTGGTGCGGTAGCGGCAGTCGCAGCGCCTGGGGACAGGTAGGGGGAGGCCCAGGCGGAACGCAGCAGCGGAGGAGAGCTGGGAGGGTCCCATCCTAAGCGAGGGTATGATGGGTAGTGTCAGCAGCCAATCTCCCGCACCAGGGCCGAGCACCGACTGCATTCTCTGGGCATGGCCAGAGAGGGGGTTGGGGCGCATCCGCCTTGCCTCGTTCATGACCCTCAGGAAGCGGCGTGTCTGAACCGCCAGCGCTAGAGACTGCTGCAGCTTGAGGCCCTGTGGGTCTGCTTTCCCGGCCTGGAGAGCTTCTAGAGCCTCGGGGGGGAGGGCTGCTTCCGCTGCTGCAAGGCGTGCAGGCAGGGCGTGCGCGGAGCCGGAGGTGGGGTCCATTAGGGGGAGGAGGGCTGCTACATCTGGGTAGAGTGCCTCGGCCAGGGAGTGCAGTAAGTGGGAGGTGCCCACCACGGACGCAAGGTACGCAGAGCTCCCTTCAACTGCAGGATTTGTAATGCCAAGGCCCCCCAATATTACGGCCAGCGCCGCTTGCCTCCAGATTCTCCTCTGTTCCGCGTCACTCCTTGGCAGCATGATATGGGCCGCGTCCAGGAAGGTATGCAGCAGTTGCTCCCCCCATGCCGCCCATTCATCCTCAGGTAGTGCCTCTAGCGGAGTGGTTCTGGCCAGGAAGGATGCTCGCCGGCCCACGCAGCGGGTGAGTAGCAGCAGGCACAATTGGGGGTCCATTTGGGCCAGGAGCGGCAAGGGTTCTGCTGCTGCTGCAAGCCTTTCCCTTACTCTGGCGGCACAGCCATCTGAGGTCCCGATTGGGCTTCCTAATATCCGCAGTCCGTCTGCTGCAATGGGGAAGCTCGGAGGGAGAGAGGCGGGGTCTATGGCGGTTGCAGACCAAGCCTCACACTTCCCAAGGTTGTGCTCGAGGCCTATGTGGATCAGTGTGGCAGTGAGGTGTGTAAATGCCGCCGTGCACGCTTCTGCTTCGCCTAGCAGCGTTATGTCGTCTGCGTAGGCGAGAATGACGACCCTTGGGTGAGCTAGTGCCGTTGCGGTAAGGTGTGGGTGGATGCTTGCCGCAAAGAGCAAGGGGCCAAGAGGGTCCCCCTGGCGGACGCCTCTAGCACTTAGCAGTGGAGCCACGCCGAAGTCATGGTCGAGGTGGAGTGCTGAGGGAGTTCCGTAGGAGAGGCGGACAAGGGGCAGAAGGCTTTCAAGGGACTCGTTCTTGAGCCCCTCGAATACCGCCGCCCTTTCCACCGCGTTAAACGCGTTGGCGAGGTCAATCTGCAGCGCCACCGAGCCCGGGTTCTCCTCCAGGTATGTGCGCGCAGTGTGAATGGCCGCCTCAATCCCTCCAGCCACTGCTACCTCGAACTGTAGAGGCGCGAAGTGTGATCATGCCGCCGCCCCAGTCAGGAACAGTGCTGCCTTGGCCACCATGCGAAGAAGGCATTCGCCCACGGCTATCGGTCGGGTCCCCCCCTGCGGTTTTGTGAAGGCCAAGAGCCGTGAGGCTGTGAGGAGCTCGGTGGCCTCGCTGCTGAGTTTCCCGGCTATAGCTGTATTGGTAAGTGCGAGGAGATGGGCGAAGATGTCTGGATTTCCGAGTGCAGCATCGCGTATGTGCTCGAAGGTTGTGCCTGAGGGCCCTGCTCCCACCCCGTTTGGGAGTTTGGCTACGATGCGCCTGAAGTCGCGCGGCTCTATCGAAGGGGTTTTCTCGGGGGAGAAGGTGCGTATCCATTCTGGTAAGGGCTGGAGTGCTTGCAGGTGTCGTGCTGCTAATGCCGCGTACACTTCGGAGGAGGCAGGTGAGACCGGAGTGGCTTGGAGGGACTGTAGTGACTTGGCCAGGTTACCACGCTTGGCCAGTCCCTCCGCTCCAGCAAGGATGCCCTGAGTGTCAGGTATGTGACGTGGCTGGGCTGGGAGGGAAGTTGCTTCAACTGCCTCGTCGTACAGGCCAGACCAGAGTCCCTGGCGGAAACGGAGGAGGCGATTCATCATCGCGTTCCAGTCTGGTTTGCGAGCTGACGAGGTGCGTAGGAGGATTCGCGGGAGGAAAGTCAGTAACCTCCACCCCGCGGTCGAGTTGGGATTGGCTGCCAGGTGGAGGAGTGGGGTGAGTAGGCAGACTGCGAATGATTCGCGAAGGTCTTTTGGCGGGTGACGGGCGAGGGGGGGCTGGCGACTGTCGCGCAGTGGGTCCAGGTCCCAGCCTGCGACTTGCGCGAGAAGGTCCAGTCGTTTCGCCAAGTCGCCTGGGTGGATCATTGGTGGGGTTGGAGTTGGGGTTGGGGTGTTCCTATTGGTTGCGGCAGAGTCAAATGTGATTTCTGCCGCGGTCCGATTTCCCCTCCAGGCCTGATTTCCCCCCACATTCCGATTTCTGGCTGGGGTTCGTGTTGCAGACGCGGCTCCAATTTGTTGGTCCGGGAACTCAGCCCCACGAACCAAGAGCTCCTCATCATCTTCATCAGCTTCAGCATCCAAACCTCCCTCCGTTTCGGGGTTAAAACCTTGGTCACCCTCGTCGCTCTCGTCATTCTCCGATTCACCACTCTCCCCCCTGCTAGCGGCTTCCTCGCCGCCTTCCGCGCCTTCCCGGAGTAGTCGTTCTGCTGTCCTCGCATAGCCGCTCGCGCCTGTACGTCGGCCTCCTCTCCTCCCAGCTCCTCTTCCTCGGCGTCCTCTCCCGCCTACGCGTCGTCCGCCAGGTGTGCCACTCCTCGCGATTGGGCTGTGCATTACAGGCGTGCGGTTTTCGCCGATCTCCTCCCCTGCCAAGCGGGGCTCTGGCGTCCTCGGCTCACGCCTCGGTCGTGATGGCGGGGTCCGTGGGTCGCGACCGCGCCTTGGAAGCAACCGCGGAGAGCGCTCAGCTTGTTGCGCAGCCAAACCCCGAGTATGCGCCTCCGCGTTCCCAAGTGCAGGCTCGTCGTGCTGCGTCGGCGCCCGTGCGCCGTCTTGAGCGCGGGTTGTCTCGTCCGCTGCGCGGGGCGGATCGTCACGCGTCTCCTGAGCAATCCCGTGCTCCCCTAGTCGTCGCGTCGAATGCCTTGCCGGCGCGTCAGGAGCGGGGCCGGTCCCCGCCGCCTCGTGGATATCGACCCGCGTCCCCTGCGCGTCGCGCCCCCGAGCCGCATGACTCTCGGCGGCGATGGGACGAATATCAGCGGGAAATTCAGCATCGCGACCGCCGCTACCGCTCTTCTGAGAGGTCGCCGGAGAAGCGCTCCCCGCGGGAGCGGTCCCCTCCGCAGCGGACGCCGCGGCCGTCGCCTCCGCGTTGGGGCCGCGGGGCTCATGCGGGCCGTTGGGATTCTCGCCGCCGTGAGCAGTCCCCGCCCCGTCCTCAGTCGGCTGGGTTTGGAGGGCGTCGTGGGCGGCGGAATGGTTATGCGCGCGGCGGGGGTAGTCGTGGCCAGGGCTCCACTGCTGACCGCGCGGGGAATATGGTGGCGGATGCAGTGCGGGAGGTGGAAGCGTCGGGGGCAGCGGCTCACGTTCACGTGTCTGTGACCACTGAGCCCCCCACCGCACCTGTTGCGGTTGAAGCCGCTCCGCTGCGCGCTCCGACCTTGCGGGAGTATCTGCCAGCTGCAGCGGCGAGGGGGCCGTTCCGCGGACGCCGCCAAGCCCCAGGTTACCCTGCTCGTCAGAATACGGTTGGCCAGACTCCGGGCCAGGTGGCGATGTTTCTGCCGCGCGGAGTTCTGACTGCGCCCCTCCCCAGCCGCGCGGGGAGAGATCCCACGCTGAGCATGTGCCGGATGTGGAATTTGGCGGGGGCGGCTGAGGGGCTGGCGAGCCTGCAGCTGGCGGCGTGTGAGGCCATGCGTCACACACCGAGCAGTTTTGCGCAAGGGCCCCAAGGACAGTGCGTCGCTTGGGCAGGAGAGATTGTCCCCCTTTTATCGCCCGTGTCGGATGCGCCCGCCGGGGTAGCACCCTTAGCCCGTACCTTCCCCCGCCTCGCTCTTGATCTTCACGCTGCGGCTCAGCACGGGACCCCTGTTGACACTCTTCGCTTCTCGGCGGAGCTTCTCCACTCAATGGCGGGGTGTCTTCTCGCGATGCTTGAGGCGGAGGGGGCTGGCCTGTACACGCAGTAGAGCGGCGTCTCGTGTAGTATTGCATCTTGATCGTAAGGTGATGCTCTCCAGTTGCTTGATTTCTTCCTTCTTGGAATGCCTTGCTTGATCAACTCCTTGTGTGAGTGTCTTGCCTCTGAAACGCGCGGCCGAAGGCCGCGCTGGCGAGCGGCGGCGGCCGAAGGCCGCCGGCGCGAGCCGCGGAAAACTGAGAACACACGAAATAATGAGGAGAAGAAGGCACCAAGGGCCCTTAAATAGGCTCAGAGGAAGAGGGCCGAGGGAAGAGGAAGAGGGCTGGGTGCTAAGTCCTCTCTCTCTCTCGCTCTCTCCGCCCGCGGAAAACTGAGAACACACGAAATAATGAGGAGAAGAAGGCACCAAGGGCCCTTAAATAGGCTCAGAGGAAGAGGGCCGAGGGAAGAGGAAGAGGGCTGGGTGCTAAGTCCTCTCTCTCTCTCGCTCTCTCCGCCCGCGGAAAACTGAGAACACACGAAATAATGAGGAGAAGAAGGCACCAAGGGCCCTTAAATAGGCTCAGAGGAAGAGGGCCGAGGGAAGAGGAAGAGGGCTGGGTGCTAAGTCCTCTCTCTCTCTCTCTCTCTCTCTCTCTCTCTCTCTCTCTCTCTCTCTCTCTCTCTCTCTCTCTCTCTCTCCCTCTCTCTCGTTTTCACTCTCTTTCCCCCCTCTCCTTCCCCCACCAGACCCCACGTACATGATCCGGGCCATCCCCGCGAACGCGAGTGACAACATATACTGCACGCTGCTGGCGCACGGGGCAGTGCACGGGGTGATGGCCGGCTACACCGGCTTCATTGTGGGCCCCGTCAACAACCGCCACTGCTACATCCCCATCAATGTCAGTGCACTCCCTCCCTCTCTCCTGCTCCTTCACTCCCCTCCCATGTCACCTCACTCACTCCCATCCTCACTCACTTCATTGTCGGCTCCGTCAACAACCGCCACTGCTACATCCCCGTCAATGTCAGTGCACTCCTTCACTCCCTCTCCGCCTCCACACATACCCACCCACCTCTTGACGAGCACTTGTCGTTTCTCCTCATCTTCACTGACTAGTGTTGGGTGTTTGCATGTTCTCCTCAGCTCTGCCTTTTCTCGTATTCCTTTCTCACTAATCACTTTCAAGGTTTTTTCCTGGCCTTGCTGCCCCTCTCATGTGTTATCTGATCCCCTGCTTCGTTTCTTCCTAACAACATGTCTCTCCCTTCCCTTTCTCTGTTTCATTCCTCCCTCCCTCCACTCTCGCCCCACAACAGAAGATGACACAGAAGCCCAACAGCATCTCTCTTACCTTTCTCATTCTCTCCTCTCTCCCTCCTCCCCCCCGTTTCCCCACACCAGAAGATGACACAGAAGCCCAACAGCATCTCTCTTACCTTTCTCATTCTCTCCTCTCTCCCTCCTCCCCCCCGTTGCCCCACACCAGAAGATGACACAGAAGCCCAACAGCATCTCTCTTACCTTTCTCATTCTCTCCTCTCTCCCTCCTCCCCCCCGTTGCCCCACACCAGAAGATGACACAGAAGCCCAACAGCATCTCTCTCACCTTTCTCATTTTCTCCTCTCTCCCTCCTCCCCCCCGTTGCCCCACACCAGAAGATAACACAGAAGCCCAACAGCATCTCTCTTACCTTTCTCATTCTCTCCTCTCTCCCTCCTCCCCCCCGTTGCCCCACACCAGAAGATAACACAGAAGCCCAACAGCATCTCTCTTACCTTTCTCATTCTCTCCTCTCTCCCTCCTCCCCCCCGTTGCCCCACACCAGAAGATAACACAGAAGCCCAACAGCATCTCTCTCACTGACCGCATGTGGGCGCGCCTCCTAGCCGCCACCTCACAGCCCTCCTTCCTTCGGATCGACCCCACCGCCACCACTGCCACCGCTGCCACCACTGCCGTTTCTTCTGGTGCTGATGGTGCTGCGGCTGGGTCGTCTCAGGCGCCAGGAGGGGGTGTGATTGAGGGGGAGTATGGGGAGGTGGTCTTGGGGGATGTGGGGTTGGCGGCGAGTTATGCTCGGGACGAGGAGGAGGATGGTGCAGGGGTGGTGCGGAGTGTGTTGGAAGAGCTTGGGGAGGACATGGGGATGGATGAGTTGGATGTGGTGGTTGGGGTTGGAAGGAGCGGGTATGCTGCTTCACATGCAGCTGCTTTTGAAACAGATGATGATGAGGCAGCAAAAAACGCTGGGGATGGAGTGGAGGGAGGTTTGCAGAAATGACGAACTGGTTAGAGAAAATCACGCAGAACATTTGTTTTTAGTAGAGAGCATCTATGCTATTAAGGAATCTATTTACTTGATATAGGTCTAAGGATTGTTCTAACTGTAAGATAAGTTAACTGCTCTTACTGTACAGAGGTGTCGATAGCAGCACTCAACACTCCCACTTGCTTCGCTGGCATTCCGCGATGGGGTGTTCTTCCAGTCGGCATTGTTGAACAGCGAACCCGGCTTCGAAGAGCCAGCGTTGAAGGGCCAGCGAGTCAGAGGGGCCCAGCTGGCTCTCCACTTGTAGTCTCATTTTCCGCCAGTTGCTTCCCCCAGCCTCCCCGCAACGCCACTCGGCTCCATGAGTCTCCTTGCTGTCATTTGTGACCTCGTAACCTGATACGATCTCATGATCTCATGACCTCGCGGTTGCTCATTACCCAACGAACCGCACTATATCGTTTATTTAACGCGTTAAAACTTGAGTTAACGTATTGCACCGCAAAAAACGAGTGTCCCGTATCATGCCATCTGTCTCTCTAGCTTCCTCCGCTCCCTATGTTCCGCTCCCTAGATTCCACTACTCCCGTTATTGTGGTGGTGGTGACTTCTCCCTCGGTTCTGCTGGGTGACTAACACTGACTGGTCACGGGTCCCAGGTTCATCCGAGGGCTTCTCCCTCCAGCCTCCGTTTTACCAGAAGCGACCATCCCTTAGCCTCACCACTTTACAACTCTCTTCAGCCGACTAAACCACGGGTAACCACGACTTGCGACTCGAGACGCTCTGCTCTGACAGTTTTTGTCAACTAAAGCCATGTACGGTTTTCGGTAAGACTAGTTTCGGGCTCGCCTACCTTGATTGCTGGACTAAACAGCCACCTATAGTCGACCTGCTCTGCTCACGTGTACCTACCTCTCGTTACCACGGTTCAGGCTGTAGCGACTCGTGTATGGCGACACAAGTTTTGGAAAATTAGGGTTAGTACGTAGCGATTGCTTCCGCGGTCAGTTCAACGGCCATATATCCAGTCCCTTACCTCTCAACTCGTCAACCTGGCCATGCCTTCAGGATGGAAAATTATTGATATATACGGATGACAATGCATTAGGCCTTTCATAGAATTCGCAAACGCGCGACGTATGGATAATGCGGCGCCAATGGGGTAGTCATAAAAATGTGATAAGCAGCTTCTTTAATTGATAATGCTGTGTCAATTGGATAACTCGAGACAGTCACTACCGCGGATGAAATCGCAATAGCAGGCGAAGGCGGGAAGGAGGGAGGGGGAAGGAGCGGTGAGGCATGAGCGCGAGCGGGACAAGCACGCCGGGATGGGTAGGGTCGGGGTGCGAGCGCGTGGTGGTGGGAGTGGGGAAGGACCCGTGCAGCAAAGACGCGATCCGATGGGCCATCGCCAACAGGCTGCGACACCCCGACGACATGCTCATTCTGTTGCATGTGGTTACCAAAGTTCCCACCCATCAGAGTAAGCGCCTCGCTGGTCGGCCACAGGGATTTTCCGGCGCGGAAACCTCCGGTGTTCTGGCCGTGATGGTACCTTGCCGGTGTTGTGATGAGGCTTCTGGAACCTGCCATTCTTGCTTGAACTTGCTGACTTATACAGCTGACTCGATAGTGAGCAGGTTACGACTCAGCTCGCGTCTCTCCTCTCACACGGATCCGCCGTCGCCTTTTTTCTCGCTCGCATGGTGTGCATGGCTCGCATCTGTGATATGCGTGCATCCATGGGTGCGTGCATGCATGGGTGCGTGCATGCATGGGTGCGTGCATGCATGGGTGCGTGCATGCATGGGTGCGTACATGCATGGGTGCGTGCATGCATGCATGCGCGCGTGTATGCGTGCGTGCATGGCCTGAGCAGAGGTGGAGATGTATCAGAGCGACGTGAACAACACAACATTCGTGCACTACGTGCGCACAGTGGTACAGCCCATGATGATCGAACTCAAGAGCATGGTCGACTCCAAGGTGAGCAATTGCAGCAGCCCGCACTGCATTGACTTCATCCGTAGCAAAGGATCAAGGTAGCCGAGCCGTTTCTTATTGTTCAGTGATACGGCCCATGATGATCGAGCTCAAGGGCATGGTCGACTCAAAGGTGAGCCCACAGCACCCCGTGATGATCCCAAGGTGAGCTCAAGGTAGCCTTTATTCATTGCGTATGAACCAGTAAAGGCCCAAGACAGACCTTCACGTACGTTGGTGTTAGTTTTGGTAGACTTTTGAGTCGACTCAAAGGTCACCTCGTAGCAACCAGGGCTACAGGTCCAGGGCGGACGTTCACGTTGGTGTTGGTTTTGGGGGATTTGGGATGCTTCTTATTGCTGTTGCTGTGTAGGGCGGATGGTTTCCTAGAGGATTTGATTGTTGAGGACGAGACGACACAGCATGAAGGGGGGTTGCTAAAACGGTGCTGATGATGGTCGTTCCTGTTGCTTGTGTGCGTGTGTGCGTGCGCGTGTGCGTGCGTGTGTGTGTGTTTATGCATGCGCGTGTGGGGGTACGCGTGTGTGTTTGTGTGCGTGTGAGCGTGGAAAGGGGGGAGGGGGAGTGTGCTATGCTAGGGTGTGCGTGTGCATGTCTGGGTGTGTATGCGTGTATGTGTGTCTGTGCGCACACATGCGTGTGCGAATGTGCGTGCATGCATGTGTGCATGGCAGATAAGGCTGGAGTTGAAGGTGGGGAGGAACAACAGCAAGGAGAGGGGCATAGTGGACGAGTCCAGGAAGCTCAAGGCCACCACACTCGTCGTCGGCACCAGCTCAAGAGGCATCTTTGGCATGTGAGTGCGCGGCATGCGGGTTGTGTGTGGGCGGGGCGCTTGCATGCGTAGTAGCATGATTATAGCACATATGGAATGTTCGTGTGTGCAGCCTTATTTCCTTGCCACCTCGAACGCGCCATGTGCGTGTGTGTCACCTTCACCCACCATCTCTCCCAACCGACCCCACTCCCCCTCTCTTGCTCCACCAGTCGCGGCCGTACGGGAGTGGGGGCGTATTGCATGAAGAACCGCCCCCCAACAGTGTCCGTCTACGTGGTGCTAAAGGACAAAGTCACCGCGTGCAGAGAGGCCGACTCCCTGCCCGGCTCCTCCTCCTCCGCGCCCACCAGCCCCGGTCACTTGCTTGTGGCGTCATCAGCACCGTTCCGCCACAGCCCGTCCATGTCCGCGCACCACCAGTCCGACCGCTCCTCCACACGCAGCTCGTCGGGGGTGCTGGAGCCCACCAACGGGCTCGGGTCTGACGATGCAGGTGGGTGGGTGGGTGGGGTGGGGGGGCTTTGAGAATTGGGTCAGTCAGCGTCCGCGCACCACCAGTGTGATCGCTCCTCCCCACACTCAGCTCGTCAGGGAGAGCCCACCGATGAGCCCACCTCCGCGCAAAGCTCGTTGGGGGTGTTGGAGCCGAATGGTGCGTTTGATGATGCAGGTAGGTGGGAACTTGGAAGGGAACCACACCTTTGAGAATCGGGTCAGTCAGTGTTAGTCAGCATTGGCACACACATAACCAATCCAATCCGATTGCTCCTCCTCGCACAGCTCGTCTGGGGTGCTGGAGCCGGGCAATGCGTTTAATGATGCAGGTGGGTGGGGGGACCTTGACTTGAGAACTGGTTCAGTGAGCGTTGGTAACTAACCACCCACCTGCAATCGGGGTGGGGGGAGGAGCATTGGTACATAACCACCCCGATCGCTCCTCCACGCACAGCGCGTGTGGGGCATTGGAGCCGAGCTATGGGCTTGCATTTGATGATGCCGGTGAAAGGGAGGGAGGCTTATCTCAACAACTCACTCTATTTCTCTACTTGATGACAAAGGTGGCAATTGTTTATTATTTCTCACTCTCTTCTTCGGAACATAGGTTCTAGTGTAGCTCTGGTTACGGGTGCATAGACATGCATCGCTCTCGCCCTTCACTCCCTCTCCCTCAACCCAATCATGCAGAAGATGATGAAGCCGCAAGAACCAATGGCGCGCATCCACCTGGCGCCGACTACCCCAGCAGCCCCAACGTCCACACCGCCCCACAGCCCTCCCGAACCGGTACCTGGCCTCACGACCATGCTGGTGCTACCCTTACCACACCCGACGGTATAGCCGGCTTCCAAACCTACTCCCCAGGCTTGTCCGTTCCTCACGGCATGCCAGGGGCCTCCCCGATTCGGAATCCTGGGGACGGGGGCGATTTGGACTCCATGATGCAGATGAGAATGCAGCAGCTGCAGCTGCAGAACCAGCAGCAGATGCTGCTACTGCAACAGCAGCAGCAGCTGCAGCAGCTGCAGCAGCAGCAGCAGATGCAGCTGCAGCAGGTGCAGCAGCGGCTACAGAGAGACTATCTAGCAGAGGTGGACGCGTGGAGGAGGGCGAACCCCCAGGCGACCCCAGAGCAGCAGCAGGCATTCATGGCTGACCTAGAGGCGCGTATGGCTCAGGCCACTGCAGCCCTAGCAGGCATGCCGCTCTATGACGCCGCTGCCAGACTCGGTGGTAACCAGCAGGCTCGGCCCGAGCCTGGGGGCTCGCCTCAGGTTGCCGTGGCACAGGGAGTGGCTCGGGAGGCGGATGCAGCTGCGAGGATTGGACAGATGGCTGTAGACGCGGAGAGGGCGCGGGCAGCCGCGGAAGAGGGGAGGAGAGCAGCGGAAGAGGAGGTGGGGAGGCGAGAGGGGAGGGGGGAGGAGGTGGAGAAGGGGGCGGGTGGTGGAGGAGGAGCGGCGGGGGGAGGGGAACCGGTTGCGCCAGTGGTGCGGCGGGTGCATCACTACAGGGAATACTCGTATGAAGAAATCCTGGTGCGTTGCTGAGTTGGGTAGAAGAAGAATTGGGAAGAAGATTCGGAGGCGTTTGGCGCTGGGGGTGTAGAAGCAATGCCATGAGGGGGAGGATATGTGTGTGAGGTTGCTTTCAGAGTGGGAGAGTGCATGAGTACAGCCCTGCACTCTACACCCTGCCTTCCTTGCTAACCCCTTTTCCGCCCACCCCCTCTGTGCCTTCCCCACTAATGTCTCACTCTTTCCCTCCCCCTCGCACGAAGCAGAGGGGGAGAGTGCATGAGTACAGCCCTGCACTCTACACCCTGCCTGCACTGCTTCCTGCTCACTAAACCCCCTCTCCACCCACCCCTCTTGGGCCTCCTCACTGGCGTGGCGTCTCACTCTCCCTCACCAACACTCCAAGCAGGCAGTGACTGACAACTTCAGTGTGGGGAGAACGCTAGGGCTTTGGCACCGTGTGTGTGTGTACTCTGACACACTGCACCACACGCCCTGCTCCCTCTTCTGCCCCGCTGACCATTCCTGAGCCTCCCCCTCTCCCCCGGGCTTACCCCCCTCTTCGGAGCTCCTGTGCACCCCCCTCCCACCCCTCCTGTGCTGTCAATGGTAAATGGGTGGGCTGCGGAGGTCTTATGTCCATCAACTTAAACTGTGTCTTCGGACGACGAAGCAAACTCCATGAAATGAAAAAATGAGAGAGCCTGGAAAGCTTGTGAGCTAGAGCGTCTTAGAGAGCCAGATTGAACAGAATCGTCAACGCACCAAGCTCCTGTACACCCCCCTCCCACCCCTCATGTACACCCCCCTCCCACCCCTCCTATACACCCCCCTCCCACTCCTCCTGTACACCCCCCTCCCACCCCTCCTGTGCCTCCCCCATCTTCCTTCCCCACTGGCGTCTCTCTCTCTCTCTCTCTCTCTCTCTCTCTCTCTCTCTCTCTCTCTCTCTCTCTCTCTCTCTCTCACACACACACACACACACACACACACCAACACACCAAGCAGGCTGCGACAGAGAACTTCAGTGCGGAGAGAAAGCTGGGCGAGGGGGGCTTTGGCACCGTGTACTGTACTCTGGAACGCTGCACCACACACGCTGCTCCCTGCCTGCGCCCCTCCTTCCGCCTTTCTGACCACCTCCTCCCCCCGTGCTCCCCTCCTCCCCCCTGCACCACCCCATCTGTTCTTCCCCTCTCCCTTCCCTTCCCGCTGCACCTCACCCCCTGCATTTCAATCTTCGCCCCGCCCTCCCTCGCACCAAGCAGGCAGCAACGGACAACTTCAGTGCGGAGAGAAAGCTGGGCGAGGGGGGGTTCGGCACCGTGCACTCCGGCACGCTGCACCACACGCCCTGCTCCCCGCCTGCCCACCCAACCCTGCTTGAACTCCCATTCTCTGCCTCTCCCCCCCGTGCTTCCCCTCCTCTGCTCCTCCCCTCCTGCACCTCCCCCCGCGCCTCTCACTCTGTGCCTCCCCCCCCCTGTGTCTCTTTCTCCCCACCCAACGCACCAAGCAGGCAGCAACGGACAACTTCAGTGCGGCGCGCAAGCTGGGCGAGGGAGGGTTCGGCACTGTGTACTCGGGCACGCTGCACCACACGCCCGTGGCCGTGAAGCTGCTCAAGAGCCAGGACTCCATTCAGGCCATGGCGGAGTTCCAACAAGAGGTGGGTGAGCGATTGCCGACTTGGTTGCAGCAGGTGGTGAGTGAGTGAGTGAGTTCCAGCAGGTGGTGAGTGAGTGAGTGAGTTCCAGCAGGTGGTGAGTGAGTGAGTGAGTTCCAGCAGGTGGTGAGTGAGTGAGTGAGTTCCAGCAGGTGGTGAGTGAGTGAGTGAGTTCCAGCAGGAGTTGAGTGAGTGGTGCGTTTGTGCGCGTTGACTCGGTTCCATCAGGAGTGAGTGCGTTGGTGTGGACACCAGTGAAGCTGCTCAAGAGCCAGGACTCCATTCAGGCCATGGCGGAGTTTCAACAGGAGGTGGGTGGGTTGGTGCATGCGTGCTGTTTAAGATCCCCTTGCGTGCATGAGCATACTCTTATCCCCCTCCTGCTCCCCCTCTCCTCCTCTCCCCCGCCCTTCCCCCTCCCTTCCTCGTCTTCGCTTCCCCTCCCCCTGCTCCCCTCCCCTCCCCCGCCCTTCCCCCCTCCTTCCTCCTCGTCCCTTCTGCTCCTCCTTCCCTCCTCCCCCCCCCCCCCTCCTCAAAATCAGGTGGAGATTCTGAGTCAGATACAGCATCCGCATGTGCTCATGCTGCTGGGGTGCGTTGGTTGCTGCATGCGTTTTGTTTTGTGTCCCCTTACGTGCATGCCCCTCGTCCTCTTATCCTCCTCCTCCTCCTCCCTTCCCCTCTTCCCCCCTCCCCTCCCCTCCCCTCCCCTCCCCTCCCCCACAATCAGGTGGAGATTCTGAGTCAGATACAGCATCCGCACGTGCTGATGCTGCTGGGGTGCTGTCCCGATCGCTACGTGCTCGTCTACGAGTACCTCGCCAACGGCTCTCTGGAGGACCGCCTCCTGCGCCTCCACTCCACGCCCCCCCTCCCCTGGTTCGTCCGCATACGCATTGCCGCCGAAATCGCCTCCTCCCTCCTCATCCTGCACACCCGCCCCGTGCCCATCGTGCACCGCGACTTAAAGCCCGGGAACATTCTGCTGGATAAGAATTTCGTCGCGAAGTTAGGGGATGTGGGGTTGGCTAAGCTTATGCCGGGGCTGTCTATGGAGAAGACGTGCGACCGCGAGTCGACCCCGGTGGGGACGTTCGCATACGTGGACCCGGAGTTCCAGAGAACGGGGGAATTCGGCCCGAAATCCGACGTGTACGCGTTCGGCATCGTCCTACTCGACCTCCTCACAGGCCGCACACCCGCTCTGTACGAAGCCTTGGAAATCGCAGTGGAGAGTAACCGCAACGACGAGCTGATGCGGTTCCTGGATGCGGGAGCCGGCACGTGGCCGCAGGGCATGGCAATGGAGATAGCCAAGCTGGCGATTCAGTGCAGCGAGATGAAGAGGCGCAAGCGGCCGGACCTTGAGACGGAGGTGATGCCGATTCTGGACAGGATGCGGAGCGTGGCGATCAAGGCGGAGGAGGATGTGAAGAAGGCGTCGCTGGTCCGGCCCGTGGCTGCTGCTCCTCCCTGCCTCTTCTGCCCCATCACTCAGGTGCAGTGCCCCTCGCTGCAATCACTCAGGTGCAGTGCCCCTCGCTGCAATCACTCAGGTGCAGTGCCCCTCGCTGCAATCACTCAGGTGCAGTGCCCCTCGCTGCAATCACTCAGGTGCAGTGCCCCTCGCTGCAATCACTCTTCTGCCCTGCACTCACCTCTCCCGCACTCACCTGCCCTGCACTCACCTGCCCTGCACTCACCTGCCCGGCACTCACCTGCCCGGCACTCACCTGCCCGGCACTCACCTGCCCGGCACTCACCTGCCCGGCACTCACCTGCCCTGCACTCACCTGCCTGGCTGGCACTCACCTGCCGTGGCAAGGTTGTGCAACTTGTCGCTTGTGCTTCCCACTTTGCCTTCAACCCCTCCCCAGCAGGAGCTGATGCAGAACCCAGTGATAGCAGCGGATGGGACCACATACAACATGGTGTTGTTCTGCATTCACCTGCTCCCGTTTTTTTCCTCTCTCTCCACCCATTACAGGATCTGATGGTGAATCCGGTGATAGCAGCGGACGGGCACATGTACGAGCTGGTGATGCTCTGCATCCGTCTGATCCCTTTTGATTACCCTGCTTTTCCTTAACCCCCAAACCCCCCTCCCCCAATTACAGGAGCTGATGGTGAATCCAGTGATAGCAGCAGACGGCCACACTTACGAGCTGGTGGCGATACAGCAGTGGTTGGAGAAGAGCGATCGCTCGCCCATGACCAACGTGCGCCTGCCCTCCAAGGCCCTCGTGCCCAACCGCGCTCTCAAATCCATGATCCTCGACTGGCACGAGACGGGAGGGTCGGGGTAACGACTTCTGGTTCATGGTTGAAGAATTTCCGAGTCCATAATGACTCCTGAGAGGAGCTGTCAAATCCATGATCCTCAACTGGCGCCAGCACGGCGGGTCGGGGTAACCACTCTTCGTCTCTGTCCATGTTTGAACCGTTCTTGAGCCTTCTCAGAGATGACCTTTATCTGGGGGGCACAGGGCCTGATCAATGATGGCTTTCTTTGGCGCCTCCAGTGCCTGTCTGGGCCCTCCAATCCATTCATCCATATCCTTCGATCATCCCATTCATGGTTGGGTCTCAGTCTCATGCTCAACTGGGCAGCTGGATTCACTGTCACTGCAAGACGGCATGGCTGTTGGAAAGTCGAGCACAGCATTTCTTAGCTGCAGGTGTGGGGGTTTGTTGCCATTGGAGTGAGCAACATTGTGCCATGACAGGCTGCTTGTTTTTAGCTGTGTAGAGAAGGGGATGTCCTTTTGATTGCAATAGCTTACTGTTGCTTTGTCTTGCAATCGTGTGCTTGGTCAAAGCTCTCCCATGCTAGGTAGGTGTCTACTGCCACCACGTTGTGCCCTAGGCCCAAAGCTTCATGTTGGATCTTGATACTACAGCGTTTTTCCTGTTGTGATGTGCTCTGCATCAGGAGCACACTCACCGCGTCAGGTGCAATTTAATTGTTGGGGAGAAGCCTATACAGGATATGTATTTTGGAGGGTCGATGCGTGAGCCTCGACGTCGTCTACGTCAGGTGAATTGTGTACAGTTTGCTGACTGTATAAAAACAGTCTGCTCGGTGTGTTTTGTCCTTTCTGACCTCACTGGCTCGATTACATTTTGACAGGCAGAATTCTTTTGCGGTTCTGTACGGTTATCAAGCAGGTGTCGCGTTCTTTCTGCGAGTTAGCGAGGTGACAAGGCCGAATCAAAAGTAATCTCCAGAAAATCACACACAGAAGATTACGGAATGAAATACCTCAGCGGACAAGCGAGTCCGCCCGTGCCGTGCTGCTTTCAACATTTGCTCTTGATGTAAATCGATCGAACGGCGATCGATCCACCTTGCCAACGCAAAATTCCCCACGAGGGATGGATGCAACGACACGTTGGCGAAACTGTTGAGCCACATCTCTCTGAAGGTCCAAAACCCAGGGCACGCCCAAACACCGAGGTTAGGTTGGGCTGCCTCTGCGCTGGCGGGCAACAGCAACCCCGCTGCTTCAATCCAACAACATCAAGGTGGATGTTCGAATTTCCAAATCAGCGCTTGTTCCAACTTGGCGCAACGAATCTTCAGGTGGACTGATTTGCTTATGAGGCAAATAACTCGTATCTCGATTCTGCCTCACACTCACATCACCTCCCCACCACCACCGCCTTTGCACCTCGAATTCTCCGTGTTGGTTTTGTTCTCTCCTCCACACACACCCCCCTCACGCACGCCGCTGGCCGCGGCGATTCTCGGCTTCTTCCTCCCTTCCTGTCCTTTCGAGCGGCTACTTAGCCATGGCATTGCGGCGGTTGATTTATTACCAAGAAAGCAGGAGTTTCAGCATAGTGCGGTGCGAACGAACGTCTTATCAAGAAGCTTGGCGTGATTCACTATTTGAAAGGTTCTTTCGTATTTCAGGGCATTATGCGGACGAGAACCGGCGGGTATCAAAGTGCTGCAGACGGTATTACTTTCCACATACGTCACATACCTTCCAAGCGAGCGTACTCGACGCGAATGTCGCTAAAGGCTTCAGGCGCTTCAGCTCACAAACGGCTCGCGGCTTCGGCCCTGGATAACCTTCCCGTACGTGCATTCTCTGAGGCCGTGAACTTGCGTGGTTTTTTTTCTTAGAACCTTTAACACTTCCCGTGGGATTCTGTGGAAGATTATGACCGAAGTGTTTTTATCGAATTGCAGGATGAGATTCTCACATGCATACTGGAGAAGGTGGTAGCTTGCGCCAACTCTTCCGCTGACGTCGTCAACGTCCTCCTCACGTAAGGAACCATTCCAAAACTTAACGTCCCGAGCTGTAAAGCTTCTTCCTTTCAACCGCTTACCTTTCAAAACAGCCAGGCAAGCAACTCACGTTGTTATTTCTGCTCTGTTGGCCCTTCAGGTCCCGTCGCATGTGCGAGCTCGGCACTCAGGCTCAAGTGCTCCGCAAAGTGTCGCCTCTTGCGCTCGCAATGCAGGCACGGTCCCTGACCGAAGGGTCGCACAGGTTCTTGCACAAGTGTGCGACTTCTGGCAACACAGACGCCTGCTACATTCTCGGCATGGTAAGCCTCCTAGATCCCACGACCTCGCGCAAGATTATCACGGTTCCGCCTCTTCCCACCCCTCCCCCTGTTTCTCCCCTCAATCGCTCCACAATTTTGTTAATTTGACGGTATAGTTCTTGCGCGTAACACTCACACCGGTCATCCTCTCCCTTGCCTTGCCACAGATCAAGTTCTACTGCCTCGGGGATCACCAGCACGGAGCCACGCTATTGGCCAAGGCGGCTCTCGCGGCGCACCCGCACGCGCTGCACTCGCTCGCCGTCATCCACTTCAACGGCAGCGGCGGCACGCGCCACGACCGCGACCTCGTGGCGGGGGTTCTGCTCTGCGCGCGCGCCGCGGCCGCGGGACACGTGGAGGCGCTTCGGGAACTGGGGCACTGCCTACAGGACGGGTGCGGCGTGCAGCGGGACGTTCCCGAGGGCCGCCGGATGCTGCAGGAGGCGAACGTTCGCGAGGCGGCGCGCGCGCTTGCCTGCTCCGTGGCGGTGCCTCGGTGTGTTGCTCCGCTAGTATTAGCCCCGCGGGGCGCTGCGTCGCAATGCGGGACGAGCGGGACGTCTAATTGCAGTGACGTGCAAGCTTCTCCCGCCGCTCTTCCAGTAGCTTCAGCTGGCACTGGCTCTTTCGGTTCAAATGAAAACTGTGCACTGGGTGCGCAAGAGGGTAGCACGAAGGGCGAGGTGCACGCGTCAAGACCTCGTGTGCTGATGCGTGCTGCTGCGATTCCAAGCACGTTTGCACGCGAGCACGCGTGTAGCACGGGTTCCTGGAGCCAAGGTTGGACCAATGACGCACCTGGCGTGTCTGGCGCATCGCTCCAAGGGGAGGTTGTACCCCACCGTGCCTCCTCGGGTTCGAGAGTCGACTTGAGCGTGCTGCAGAACCTTCAAAGCGGCGAGAACGTGGCGAGAGGAAGCGAAACGCACGCAGAACCACCAGTTAGATCCGAGGGTGATGGGCAGTTTCCTCTGCAGCAGTCTGGGTTGCAGCAGCCGCAGAACCACCAGTTAGATCGCCAGTCCCAGCACGCGCATCAGTCTAGAATCCAGCACTCAGAAGCACAAGTACTTGGACGCGGTACCCAAGCCCCTGTTGGTGCAGATGCAAGTGAAACTTTGCCCCACGCAGAGAGGCCTCCCGTGGCCATGTGCAGGTCTAGCGGTCCCCACCGCTGCTGCTGCCTGCCACATGTCACCCTGCCGCCCTCCTGGTGGCATGTTGCTGTGCATAAGTTCCTGGTGGACTGGCATGCGCTCGTGCCGCTCCCTGAGGGATTCAGAGTGTGCTGCAATGAGCTGTGCGGGCGATCGGAGACAAGGAAGCAGGAGTTCCGGTGCTGCTCTGCGTGCGGGGAGGCTAAGTATTGCAGCCGCGTGTGCCAGGCGGTTGACTGGAAGGCCCGGCATAAGGTGGTGTGCCCGCTTATTGCTGCTAGGGTGCAGCAGGAGCAGGAAGTAGCGGCACGTGTGAATTTGCTAAGACAGCAGGCACAGGGCCAGCAGGAAGAGGATCGGCATCGGTCTCTGCAGCAACTTTACCAGGTGCAATCGGATCAGCAGCAGCGACAGGATTTCCATCAGCAGCAGCAGCAGCACCAGGTGTTGCAGCAAGTGGATAATGGTCAGGGTGACCAGCAGGGAGTACATTAGTGGAAGACGACGGTTCAGACGTCAGCCCTGTTGTGACCGACTCCCTTGCATTGCGCCTGTACGACTGCCTTGCATCGCTCCTGTATGACTGCCTTGCATCGCTCCTGTATGACTGCAACCTGTATTCAAATTTAGTATTATTCAACTTATCAACACCGGAACTGAATCAACATCAGCTGTAAGTGGTGCAGAGTAGTGTCCAAAATGATCATTCGGAGGTACCGGCACATCAGTGTAGGAGTGAAGATTTCAGCCCTGTTCTTGAAACTGTTCATGTGCTGGACTGCCTTACATCTGTACGGCTCCAACTTGTGTCCAGTATTGTATTATTTATTACCGGTAATTTTGATATGAAAAGACCGGGGGAGAGCAGCAGCAGAGTGGACAAGGAGACAAAATCGTTGAACCTTTCAGAGGTTTTCTACGGTAAAAAGGTGCGATCACGGTGGGACTCGAACCCACAATCTCCCGCTCCGGAGGCGAGCGCCTTATCCATTAGGCCACGCGACCTGTATCTATATTGTTTTAGTATATTTTTAAATTTGTTTGTTTTGTCATCCTGCAGACTAGTTTATTTCTATTTCTTACGCCTCATGTGGACATGGTGTCTGATAATTCATACCACCTTTTCCCTAATTATCAGCAAACACAACAAAATTCAGGAGTGAAAGGTATTGGAAAAAATAACACAAGAGTGTTAGTAGGCTAGCATGGCTAGTGAAACAGAAGCTAGTGAGTGTGCCATCACTCGCCGCCCACCAGTGGTTGGAGGCTGGTGTCAGGATGTAGGTGGAGGAATGGATGATTCTGATTGGTCATGGGGAGGAGGTTGGAGGGGAGGGACAGACAGCAGCAGGGAGAAGGGGAGAGGAAATTTGAAGGCCAGGCTAAGTACATTAAACCAGGAGATGTTTAAGACCAAAAAAACACTTGAATCGGGTATAGGAAAGTCAGACGTATATGCAGGCGCCATGCTATGTAACCAGCCACCCATGTCGCATGCCACTACCTAAAACACACAGCCCATGCCACAACATGGCATGGCATGGCAGATGGCACGTTGGACTCACAAGAAGCTGCTCCGCTGATGGCCGCTGGCTGGGGTCCTTCTGAAGACTGCAGGGGGGACGTGTCAAGGGCGGGAATTGGGAAAGCAGAGGGGGATCCAGATGGGCCAAGGGTGGGAAGGGAATGCTGGAGTCACAAGAAGCTGCTCCGCTGATGGCCGCTGGCTGGGGTCCTTCTGAAGACTGCAGGGGGAGGAGGAGTGGAGGATGGGATAGAGGGGGTGGAGTGAGAGTAAGATAAAGGGGGTGAGTTGAGAATCGGACTAAGGGGGGTGAAGCGAGAGGGCTGAAGTGAGAATAAACTGTTACGGTGGACTGAGAATGGCGGGGTGATTTCAACATGGCCCAGCATAAGGGAGCGCAACAAGTTGCAAAAGTGCGGCGAGAAGGGAAACAGGTAGGTTGACGGGAGCGCACACGAGTGCACATGGCCGCACACGAGTGCACATGGCTGCACACGAGTGCACGTGGCCGCACACGAGTGCACGTGGCCGCACACGAGTGCACGTGGCCGCACACGAGTGCACATGGCCGCACACGAGTGCACGTGGCCGCACACGAGTGTACGTGGCCGCACTGACACAGAACACACGAACTGCACGGCACACCCACTAGAGCGCGCACGAATTCGCAGAACTGCGGCACAGCAATGGGAGCCGGCGAGTTGGAAAATTTCCGAGAGCAGATCGAAATAGCTGAAGGCGCCTCCTCAGAATGGCAGAACACCCACCCACCCGCCCACCCACCCACACACCCATTTCCCCACCCATTTCCCCACCCATCCCCCCACTCATTTCCCCACCCATCCCCCCACCACAGCACCAGCAGCAGAACCCCCACCAGATTGCACTACACCGCACTGCATCCACCGCCCACCCACCTGCCAGAAAGCACACCACCCAACCCACCAGAGCGCCACGAATTCGCAGAACTGCGGCGAGAAGTAGTCCGGCGGAGCAATGGGAGCCGGCGAGTTGGAAATCTCCGAGAGCAGATCGAAATAGTTGAAGGAGCCTCCAGAGGCGGGGCGGTAGGGGTACTGGCCTATGGCACACTCCAGCAGGCTCAGCCCGAACGCCCACACGTCGCTGTTGTGCGAATAGGTCCTGCCCATTATGCGCTCCGGCTGGTTAAGGTGAGGGAAAGGGGGGGAAACGGAGGGGATGGGAATGAGAAGAGGAGGGTGTGACTGGCACCACGCACCCACACGTCGCTGTTGTGCGAATAGGTCCTGCCCATTATGCGCTCCGGCTGATGGGGCAGGGGGGAGGGAACGGGGGGAGCTGAGAGGGAAATGATGGCACACTTGATGGAACACTCGATGGCACACTCGATGGCACACTCGATGACACACTCGATGACACACTCGATGGCACACTCGATGACACACTCGATGACACACTCGATGACACACTCGATGGAACACTCGATGGCACACTCGATGACACACTCGATGGCACACTCGATGACACACTCGATGGCACACTCGATGACACACTCGATGACACACTCGATGGCACACTCGATGGCACACTCGATGGCACACTCGATGGCACACTCGAGCAGGCTCAGCCAAAAAAGCAGCACACATCGCTGTTGTGCGAGGGATTATGGGGAGGGAGGGGTGGGAATCATGTCCGTTGGTGGTCAGGAGCAGGCCTCTGGATTGCAGGGCGTTTTACCCTGTTTAGCCTGCTTACCCTGTTTACCCTGTTTAGCCTGCTTACCCTGTTTACCCTGTTTAGCCTGCTTACCCTGTTTACCCTGTTTAGCCTGCTTACCCTGTTTACCCTGTTTAGCCTGCTTACCCTGTTTACCCTGTTTAGCCTGCTTACCCTGTTTACCCTGTTAAGCCTGCTTACCCTGTTTACCCTGTTTTTTCAGAGTGAGATCGGACACCACAGTGCTAAAACAGCATTCGTCACATGTACTACCCTGCCCACCCTGCCCCTGCCCCTGCCCCTGCCTCACAACAACGCACCGACATGTAAGTGTAAGTCCCAGCAAACGTGTTCCCGACATCGTAGCTGTTCTCGAGCACGCGGCTGACGCCAAAGTCGCTGATCTTCAAGCACCCCGACTGGTTGAGAAGCATGTTGCTGGGCTTGATGTCGCGGTGGATGATGCGGTGGCCCTGGTACAGGTCGCGCAGGCCCTGCAAGGCCTGGCGGGAGATGGCTGCCAGGTACGGCTCCGTGATCCGGCCCACCGCCTGCAGCACGTCTGCGAGAGATCCGGCGTCCATGTATTCGAGAACTATAAACAGATGCCCGTCGTCCACGAATGCCTGCCAGAAGGGGTTCAGAGTGGTGGAGAGTGGTTGAGGGAGTGAGAGGGTGCTGAGAGGTTGCTGAGAAGGGCATCGGCCAGCAACCCCGCGTCCATGTGTTGGAGCACTATGAAGAGATGCCCGTCGTCCACAAAGGCCTGGATAGGAGGGGTTCAGAGTGGTGGAGCGGGGTTGAGGGGATGGGAGGGTGGGCTTGGTGATTCCACCCACTAGCTGCAGCACGTTTGGCTAGCGACCCCGCGTCCATGCACTCCAGCACGATAAAGAGGTGCCTGTCGCCCACCAAGGCCTGGAGAGGGGCCAGAGGGGGTGCAGAGTGGTGGGGAAGTTAAGAGGGTGCTGGGTGGGTGCTGGGGAGGTGCTGCTAGCGACCCCGCGTCCATGCACTCCAGCACAATCAAGAGGTGCCTGTCGCCCACCAAGGCCTGGATAGAGGTGGTGCGCAGAGGTGCAGAGAGGTGGAGAGGTTTCTGAGATGGCTCAAAACGACTAGTTGGCCACACAGCATCGCATAGCACCGCACAGCACAGCACACCCCAGCATACCTGGTAGCAGCGGACGACATGGGGCGAGCGGCACTGGTGGTTGATCCTGAGTTCGTTCCCCACGTGCTTCTGCACATCAGCATCCATGTTCAACTGCATGTCCTTGAGTGCGTACTGCTGCCCCGTGCGCGCATGCTGTACCAGATACACTGCTGCACTCGCCCCCCGCCCCAGCAGCTCCACCTTTCTCAGATCCGCCAGCCGCAATGAGTTGTCCTGCTGTGACGGGACGGAGGGGGGTGAGGGGGGTGAGGGGAGGGTTGGGTTGGAGTGGGGGGGGTTGTCTTGGGGCTAAGGGAAAGGGGACAGGGAAGGCACATGCTGCACCAGGTACAGTGCCGCGTGAAAGAAGAGTGTTTTTGGGACGTCTCAAAAACATGCTGCAGCAGGTACAGTGCCGCGCTCGCCCCCCGACCCAGCAGCTCCATGTTTCTCAGATTCGCCAGGCCAGGCGCATGAAATTGGCCTCCTGTGAGGGGGTGGAGGGGTGCGTGGAGGGGAAAATGGGATATGGGAGGGTGCGTCGTGGTGCTGTGAGGGGTGGGTTGAGAAGTAGGTGGAAAAGGGGAGCAAAGGTGAAGGTGAAGGGGAAGGGGAAGGGGAAGGGGAACGGGAAGGGGAAGGGGAAGGGGAAGGGGAAGGGGACGGGGAACGGGTAGGGGAAGGGGAAGGGGAAGGGGAAGGGGAAGGGGTCGTGGTGAAATCGGTGCATGTGGCAAGTGGAGGGAGGATTGGGGGGTAAGGAACCTACCTGGAAGGATCCAACGTCTAGCAGTGCTTCCACGCATCTGTGCGTTGGTAATCCGAACCTGTGCGTTGGTAATCCGAACCTGTGCATTGGTAATCCGAACCTGTGCGTTGGTAATCCGAACCTGTGGTCCTGTGGCAATCCAGTGCTCACCTGCTGCTGCTGATCCGGCACTCTGAGCCCTCCTCTCCCCACGGCCACGTGCCCGAAGTTGGCCGTGCCACTGTCCGTGCTGGTGGGCGCAACGTGGAAGGGCAGGCGGAGGGGGAGGCGGAGGAAGGGGAAACGTGGAGAGGGAAAGAGACGAATTTTGAGACGCCTCAAGAGAGCAGTGTGATCCCGCCTCTCCCGACGAGACGAGGGCAGACAAGCGGGGAAGGCAGATAAAGGGGGAAGGTACATGAGGGAGGGAGAGGGGATGGGGAGGAAGAGAAAGGGGGAAGGCAGATGGGGAGACAAGCAGAGGAGTGGGGGAGTGGGAGGGAGGGAAGATGGGAAGGCATTGCAGGAGGCTGCGTGCATGAGAGAAAAACGGCAGCGTCAAAGGCGGGAAAGACAGCGAAGGGTGGGGAGAGGGGGGGGGGGGGGGGGGGGGGGGGGGGGGAGAAGGAGTGGCGCGGGGAGAGAGGGGCGCGGGGGAGCTTACAGGAAGTTGAGGTTGCTGTCTTCCGCGGTCTGCGGGAAACGCGCGCGCGAGGCGGGGGAGCGGATGCGGGGAGGACGGGGAGAACAATGGCGCGGGTAAGACACGGAGACACGGGCCGGGGGCAACGGATACGGCAGCAACACGTAGCAACAGGCAGGCAGAAGGCAGCAACAGGCAGACAACAGGTAGCAGCGGCTGAGGACAGCAAGCACGGCGCGCAGCGGTGGCGAGCTAGCATTGGCGCGCTACGCGGTGCGGAACTCACTCTGCCTGGTAGCTGAATGCCGAAGCCCGGCACGTCCAGCATCGGCGGGAAGTCTTCGTCCATATCTGCTTATTATTAATGAAACGAGGCCTAGTCTGTGCTTCTGAAATGTCACTTGATTATTAGGTCGCTTTTCGCTTCTGGAAAACGTCTTTTTTAACATGCAGGAAACAATGTACGTAATAAGTGATATTTAATTTTGGGTTGCAAGTGCCGTGGGTCGCGTGGCCTAATGGATAAGGCGCTCGCCTCCGGAGCGGGAGATTGTGGGTTCGAGTCCCATCGTGATCGTAAGTTTTGATTGTTGGCCTGTATCTCATTCACCAAGCTTAGCTGCTTGCGTCAATGCAATCGTAGGAAAAGGAGACTACTTGTGATGCTTGTGGAGGTGCTGTTGCTGCATTGGTCATTACAGATGGCCCTACCTCTTCCAAGACACACATTTACACACGTCATGCATGCACCCTCCACCTATCAATCACCGCACAGCATCTATCACCCCCCCCCCAACTCCTCCCCTCCACTGCCTGTCCTGCTGGCAGCCTGGCACCACACTCCCCCCTCCTTTCTCCTCCACAACTGCACTACCTTCCCTTCTGCAACAATCCTCCCTTCATGTTCCCTTTTAGCAGCAATCCCCCATCTCTTCTCCATTTGCGTGCACGGAACATACATCACCACCACATGCCCACGCGTATGTTCAGACATTCCAGCGAGCAGCAGTTTCTAAGGAGAAGTCTTAGCAAAGGAGAAAACAGTTATAGTACAATCCTAGCTGATTCGTGTAGGGTTCTGCAAAGTCGGAGCTCTTCACTAAGCAATGGCTAAAGCACGGACAAACATGTTTCGGCTGTAGGGAAGCCCCCAGCAAGCCTTCATCAGTGCCAAATGAAAGAATGTGAGCGAGGCCCAGCCTTCTAAAGCAAAGCAAGAAAGGCTAACCACCGAAATGTACAAATCCCTAGGCTACCGGTATCTTCACCCTGGTCAACCCAAAAAGATGGGGACCAATCCAGGCTGCCCTGGTACTTCCAAGGAGCCACGTCTTCATTCCTCGACAGTGTCTTCGTGAGTAACATGGCCTGCATCTTCGCCACTTCGCAAACTCGAGAGTCGCGCGCGCACCAGTAGCCTTGATAAGCTACACCCCATTTTCCAAGCAACAAAAATCCTATCTACGGTACATACAATCCGCGTGAGAGAAGTCTAGTTTTGAGGCGCCTCAAAACGTGCACGGAACATAGATCACCACCACATGCCCACGCCCATGTGCACTCGCACTCTCAAGGGAGAGTTTCAGCACCTGTCTATCCTCCCGTTCGTCCCCCACTATGCCGTCACCTTTTCCCCCTCTGCTTCCACTACACCCCCGCTGCTCTCCTCCCCACAACTTGTCTCTCCGTTCCCCCTTCAGAAGCCCTCCCCCCTCCCCCCTCTCGCTGCGTGTACGGCACACACATCACCACCACGTGCATGCACCCGTGTGTGCTCGCACTCTCACTGGAGGGTTAGGCCACCTCTCTAACCTCCTGCTCTTCCCCCATCCCCTATGCTGTCCGGCCTTTTCTGTTCTGCTTCCACCTCACTCCTTCTCTCCTCCCCAACTGCACTAACTTCTCCCTCCTTCCCCTCTGCAGCACTCTCCCCTCCCCCCTCTCGCTGCGTGTACGGCACAAACATCACCACCACATGCACCCGCCCGTGAGTGCTCGCACTCTCATGAGTCTCGGGCTTATCGTACAGGTCGAGCCACAGGTCTTGTGCCTTGTTGGGGTGCAGCTGTGATGGAAACGGGAGAGTAGGGGAAAGAAAGGGGAGCTGTGGGACTCGAAGGGCGAAACGAGAGAGGAATGAAGGAAAGGGACACGAGTCCCATCTTGTTTTACAGGTGTAGACATGAGGGACGTGAAGAATGGGAAGAGAGGAATTGCAACTGATATGAAGAGGGAAGTGGGAGAGTAGGGGGAAAAAAGGGGGGCTGATTTCGTTACGAGGACGTGAGCGGCATTCTAGACGGAACGGCAGTGTGCATGTGAGCAGAGAATTCTCATGAGTGAATTTAGCAACAGGTGGGCATACCGTGTGGAGCAGCAGCATGTGGGCTCCAATGAACTCCGACTTCTCAAACCGCTCGCTGTCCATTAGTCGGATCGTCAGCTGCTGTGAGTCCGGGTCCTCCACCTGTGCCAGGGGGAGGAGGGGCGAAGCATGGTAGAGGGAGTGGGGCGCGGAGCAAGAAGGATGGAAAGAGGGAGTGAAGGGGATCAGCAAGCAGTCAAATGGTCAGCACCTGCTCGCATGGTGGTGGGGGAGAGGGAGAAAGCGTGAGAAGTCAGTTGTAAGGGGCAGCAGGATAGAGCAGAGCAACAGGGGCATGCAGTGGGCATGTGGGGAACATCTGCAGTGCAGGGTGATGCACGGAGCATGCATGATGCATGCCAGCAGAGGCATGCAGCGCAGGGGCTAGTCGTTCAACCATTACTGCGAGCTCTGAGAAGTCTCAGAACTCGCAAGAACTGCACCGCGCGATAATGTTTCATTCTGAAAGAATAGTGCAGTAATGGAGGCTACTGCACCGCGCGGTGCTTTCAGTTTCCAATATTGATACTACACCACCGCACGCACCCCTCTTCATTTGAACGATGAACGCCCACTTCAAATCACTGCCTTGTTGCTCCTTCCTCTTCTTACATCAGGAACGAATCCCCCTCACCTCAAGAATAAACCCTTCGTTCCACGTGGGGTGGCGGGAGTGGTGCACGGTGCTGCTGCGCTTGATAATGCCCTCCCGCTGCCGCACGCACAGCAGCACAGTGAGGTGCTTCAATTCACCGCCTTGTCACTCCCACCCCACCCCCCCCCCTCACCTCAAGTATAAACCCCTCATTCCACGTGGGGTGGCGGGAGTGGTGAACGGTGCTGCTGCGCTTGATGGCCCCCTCCCGCTGCCGCACATACAGCAGCACGAACGGGTCAGCAGCGCCTGTCAGCACGTCTGTCTTGGGCAACCCCTCCGCCTCTATCAGCGACACGTCTAGGTACCCCACTGGGGTGAGCTCGAGGAAACTGGAGGAAGGGGGACAGGCGGGCATGAAGGAGGCGGCACCCAGGCAAATGAGACTGCAGCACTGGTCAGCACACCCGTCTTCGAAAGCCCCTCCGCCTCTATCAGCGACACGTCTAGCTACCCCACTGGTGTGAGCTCCAGGAAACTGCGGGTGCGCGGGGAAGTGGGGAATGGGGGGGAACGAGTGGAGAGGGGGCATCCAAAGGGATGTGTGTGTGACGCAAACGGATCAGCACGTCCGTCTTGGGCAGATCCTCCGCCTGTTGCAGGTTGTGTTTGAGAGTTCTCAAAAACAACCTGCAACATCTTGGGCAGATCCTCCGCCTCGATCAGTGACACGTCTAGGTACCCCACTGGGGTGAGGTCGAGGAAACGACAGAAGCAAGGGGGGAGAAGACAAGAGAGGAGAGCTGGGGGAACCAAGGGGATGTGTGTGTGATGCAGGGAGGGCATGCAGCCCTGTCAGCACGTCCGTCTTGGGCAGATCCTCCGCCTCGATCAGTGATACGTCTAGGTACCCATTGGGGTGAGCTCCAGGAAACTGGAGGTGTTGGTGCAGAGAACATAAGGCGGGGGATGCAGGTGAGAAGGAGGGGGAGGTTTGGAGTAATATCGGGTCAGCAGCTCTTGTCAGCACGTTTGTCTTGGGGAGCCCCTCCGCCTCTATCTGTGAAACGTCTAGGTACCCCACTGGGATGAGCTCCAGGAAACTGGAAGAGTTGTAGGTTAAGGTGGAGATGAAGGGGCGGCGCAAGGAGATTTACTCTGAACTTAGCCTCTGTAACAGGGCATTAACTAAAGCTCCCCTCCACGACAGGGCATTACTTGAAGCCGATTTCCATGAGGCATAAACTAAAATCAACCTCCATTACAGGGTACTACCTAAAGTCACCCTTCATGACAGGGTACTACCTGAAGTCACCCTCCATAACAGGGCAGTACCTGAAGTCACCCTCCATGACAGGGTACTACCTGAAGTCACCCTCCACGACAGGGTACTACCTGAAGTCACCCTCCACGACAGGGTACACCCATCGCGAGGGCCACACAAGGGAATCGTCGATTGACAGGCGCAGCACCGTCTGTGCCCAGAGGGGTGGTGGTGAGGAAGGTGGGGGGCAGAACGGGGCGGGGAAGTTAGGGATGCAGGGAGATGTATGGGCGGGGGAGGAAAGGGAAGGGAGGGATGGGAATTTGGAAGGGATAGAGTGGGGTGGGGTGAGAGGGAGTGAGGTATGGTCAGGGTTGTGTGGCAAAGCATGGGACCATGGCCCTGGTGAAGCAGCACGCATTCAGGCTTTAAGAAATAATGGGCATCTGCGAATGAAGAGAGGATTACAATGTAGCATGTGAGAGGCGGTGAAGGAATGTGTGAGGCGACGAGGGCATGTGAGAGGTGATGAATGCATTTGAGAAGCGGTGAAGGCATATGGGAGGCGGTGAATGCACTTGAGAAGCGGTGAAAGGCATGTGAGAGGTGGTGAAGGCTTGTGGGAGCAAGAGCGCGCATGTCACCTCAATCATCTTTTCAAATCCCGGCATGGCCTTGAGATTACCTCCCATCACTGACACCTTGAAGTCAAAGAATGGCTGCCTCGGTAAGAGTGGGGGAAGGGCGAGCGGGCGGAGGGTGGAACAGAAAAGGGGATAGAGAATGGGAGAGTGGCTAAAAGAAGGGCTGCCAGCATGCAGCGAATGCAGTGAGAAGGCCCCACTTGGTTGGGCAGTGACAGCAGCACACTGAAATTGGCCTTTCAACTTCTGCTGCAAAACAGCTCCAACACAAAATGGTTGAGCAGCAACATCAGCATGTGTGAACAGGTTCTGGGAATTCCAGTATATATATAACATATATAAAATTACTAAAATTATAATTAAAAAAAAACAAAAACAGGTCACCTGGTTGAGCAGAGAGAGCAGCACGGCGCCGAACCCGGGTAAGCGGGGCAGCAGCGGTTTGAGGGTGAGTTTGAGGGTGGCAGCAGCAGCGATGCTGCTCACTTGCACGTCCACATCTGGGCTCATGGCGGTCTGCACTCTCAGCCGCATGCTGCGCTGCTGCACTCGCCCCTCCACCCACTCCACTACCACCTCTGCTATCACCTCGTCTGCTACTCCTTCCTCTGCTACTCCTTCCTCTGCTACTCCTTCCTCTGCTACTCCTTCCTCTGCTACTCCTCCTTCTGCTCCTCCTCCCCCCTCCCCCTCGCCTTCTCCCTCGCCCCCCTGCCCTTGCTCCTTCGCCTCTGCCCTCCCCCTCTTCTCCTCCCAGACTCCTTCCCCCTCTCCTTCTCCCTTCCCCTGCCCCTCCCCTTCCCCCTGCCCTTGCTCCTCCCTCTGCCCCATCCCCTCCCCCTGCCCCTTCCCCAACACCTGTGCCTCTGCACCACCACGAATCCGCCTTTCCGCCTGTTCCTTCGCCTCTGCCACTGTTACCACTCCTGCCTCCCCCTTTCCTCCGCCTCCCTCTCCACCCCCCTGTGCGGAGCCCTCTTCCTGTGCTGCTCTGCTGCGCTGCTTGTCTCTCTGCGCCTGCCCATTGTCCGGCCCTCCCCTGTGCACCCGCACAGCTGAGGGCATTGGGAGGGGCGTTGGGAGGTAAGGACAATGGGCAAATCCTGCAAACGAACCATGTCATGTGTTTACACACTGACACATACTACTCACCCACGCACCAGTAACGGTGAAGGGTTAGGTTCCCACACACTACACAGCTCAGCACGCACCAGTGATGGTGGGTGTTGGGGAAGGGGAGGGGGGTAATAGTGTCACACACACCACACAGCACAGCGTGCATCCGTGATGGTGGGGGGATCGGGTCCCAGGTCCACGGATCGCACGTCAATGCCGGTGATGATGCCCAATTGGTACCCTGCAAACAGCCCTCAAAGGCTGCTCTGCAGTATCTCCGTGCTTGCCCTGCGATGCAACATGAGCTTTGAGCTTACTCACCGGTGATGGTGGGGGGATCGGGTCCCAGGTCCACGGATCGCACGTCAATGCCGGTGATGATGCCCAATTGGTACCCTGCAAACAGCCCTCAAAGGCTGCTCTGCAGTATCTCCGTGCTTGCCCTGCGATGCAACATGAGCTTTGAGCTTACTCACCGGTGATGGTGGGGGGATCGGGTCCCAGGTCCACGGATCGCACGTCAATGCCGGTGATGATGCCCAAATGGTACCCTGCAAACAGCCCTCAAAGGCTGCTCTGCAGTATCTCCGTGCTTGCCCTGCGATGCAACATGAGCTTTGAGCTTACTCACCGGTGATGGTGGGGGGATCGGGTCCCAGGTCCACGGATCGCACGTCAATGCCGGTGATGATGCCCAATTGGTACCCTGCAAACAGCCCTCAAAGGCTGCTCTGCAGTATCTCCGTGCTTGCCCTGCGATGCAACATGAGCTTTGAGCTTACTCACCGGTGATGGTGGGGGGATCGGGTCCCAGGTCCACGGATCGCACGTCAATGCCGGTGATGATGCCCAATTGGTACCCTGCAAACAGCCCTCAAAGGCTGCTCTGCAGTATCTCCGTGCTTGCCCTGCGATGCAACATGAGCTTTGAGCTTACTCACCGGTGATGGTGGGGGGATCGGGTCCCAGGTCCACGGATCGCACGTCAATGCCGGTGATGATGCCGAAGTGGTACCCCTCCAACAGCCCCCTCAGACTGCTCTTCAGCATGTCCGTGCTTGCTTTGCGCAGCTCTGGCCACATCTGCCGCACTGCCGCGTTCACCCATGCCAACTGCCCAAGAGTTACTCCACATACACCCAAGAATGCACAAATAATGAGCGTCCATGAACAAAATGGCCAGGATGTTTTAGGCACTTGAACGAATGAATATGCACCGAAATATGCATAGGTGATGAGTGCCATCAAGTGGAATTTCTCTTAACTCCAGACATTACCTGAAAGGTATGCAGCTTTTGGCATGAGGATGTGCAATTGCCCTCACTGAATCCAGCCAATCGAAGAATCTCGTCCACTGACATTTCCCAGTCCATCCGTCGCAAAACAAGGGCCTGCTCGTTGGAATTCGAAATGAAATTGCAAAAGTACAATCATGCACACCTGTGATGAAAGCCTGAAAGTGCAGTTTAGAAATTCTTTATACTGTTACTGTACACGTTATTTGGACGAAGAGCTTGATGTGCAACTTTACTGTACTTTTCCCCTCCCAATTGGAACGTCATCACTCGCATTGTACCTTCCTTTCTCTCTGTCGCGCATTCCGCATTGCAAGCGAAGAGTACAGTAGCGAGCACGCAATCCCCAACACAAAGCCGTAGATCATCTTGACGCCCATTCCCAGCCGTCCGATCCACAGCCCCAGCGGCAACAGCACAAGCACCAGCACGGCAGCAAAACACACAGAAGCGACCTGCGCGCTCGCCAGGGCCGCGGGGAGCCGTCGGCGCGCCTCGCCGTGAAGCGCGGAGAGGTGGGCGCGGAGAGAATCGCTCATGGACTGGTGTGACTCCATACTTAGGATGCTGTCGCCCGCTGGCTATAGACCCTTAAAGGGGTAGAGAAGATAACGAGCTGAGCTGAGTGCTTTCTTTCGCGCAGATTCAGTTGTTCCGCACGACTTGAAATTACTCCTCCATGCTGATACTAGCAGACCGAGGTGAAGAGTAGAGGGAGCTGCGGTGGTAGAATGCGAAGGGAAAACTAGTTGAGCTAACGGTGAAGCGGAGAACGAACTGATGTGACTACCACGCCATAGACGAACAGACAGCGGTGAAGAGCGTAGCTGCTGGCTTGAAGGAGCGGTTCCATCCAATGATGAACGAGTGTGAGAGAGATGAGACGACATGCTTGCTGGCTATGTGTATCGATCGGCTCTGCGCATGCGGCGCGGAGACACACACCGCGCTTCACTCCTTCAAGCCGCAGCTGGCATTCAGGGGAACTAATGGCGGAGTCGGAGAGGAGAGGAAATGCCAATGGCGGTGGTGATCGCGACATTTTGAGGGGCTAATGCGCGGCTCACGCTGCATGCCACTGCTCACGCTGCATGCCACTGAATGCGCTGACAACAACACGCGTCACATGCCACACTATTGAGTGGCTGGAACGACAACATTTTGAGAGGAGGAACTACACCTATTAACACAATATATTATCACTACCTAGGCTTTGTACTTATGCAGCAGCCTGCAATTTGCAGGCCAAAGGTACACCTTTTCAGGCAAGAACCACATCAAACGAGTATCCCTAACAATAACTCGAGAATATTTACACCGTGAAGTGTAGTCGGGGTGCTAAGGGCTGTCACCTTCGATGCAGTGAGTTTGAAATAAAGAAATGGATGGTGGGCTTGGAATGGAAGGAAGAATGCATGGTGTGGTGTGGTGTGGTTCAGTGCCTTGCACCAGACTGCTGGGACAGGGAAGGTGATCCTGCAGCATGGAGGGACAGATGGCACGAGTGAGACAGAGGCGAGGAAGGAGAAGCAGGTTACGAAGTTGAGTGAAGAGAAAAAGCCGGTTTCCAAGAGGCGTTCAGGAGATGATTATCATGTGGTAAGACGTGTTTTCGTGCGGTTTAGCTGATGCACCTGATACAGACAGCAGCATGGCACGGCATACCTGACGCGGGTTGGTTATTGGCCGAGTGGCTGTTGCCTGAAGCTGACTGGGCCTGCTGGGAAGGCGGCATGGCTGCTGCTGCTGCCACTATGCTCTCAAGCCCACCATCCCACTGCCAGCGGGTGGGAGAGAGGAGCATGGGGGGCACGGGGGGGCATTTGAGTCGACTGAAAAGTCACATGGCAGCTGCTGCTGCCACTACACTCTCAAGCCCACCATCCCACTGCACGAGGGTGGGTGGGAGAGAGGAGCATGGGGGGCACGAGAGGGGGGGGGGTTGAGAAGACTGAACAGTCAAATTGCTGCTTTTGCCACTATGCTCTCAAGCCCACCATCCCACTGCACAGTATGAGGAGCATGGGGGCCACGGGGGGGAGCTTTTGCGTCGACTCTTCAGTTGTGTTGTCTTTTTTGGTCGTCTTTTGAATGGACTCAAGAAATGGATGAGGGGAGTGGGGACATTTGAATCGAGTCATAAGTCACCTTGCTGCTGCTGCTGCTGCTGCTGCTAGTATTCTCTCAAGACAACCAGCCCACAGGCAGAGAGTGGGTGCAAGGAGCAGGGAGGCACGGGGGGAAGAGCAGGAGAGAATAAGGACCCGACTGAAAGCAGCGCCTACTGCATCGACTTCTAGCTTTCCATTTGGCTCTTCAAGGCCGGTGTGAGGGGGAGGGGGGTCGAGAAACGGAACAAGCTGGGCGATTCTGGGGAGGCGACTGAAAGCAGAGGTGCAAAGAGGGAAAAGACAAGGAAATGATGAGCAGAGAGCAGCGCAAGAGAACTCTGTGCTGCAGGACTCCAGTCACATGCAGGTAAACCTGTGCCATGGAGCCATTACAGGTGGAGCCATTCCAGGTCGAGCCATTCCAGGTGGAGCCATTCCAGGTGGAGCCATTCCAGGTGGAGCCATTCCAGGTGGAGCCATTCCAGGTGGAGCCATTCCAGGTGGAGCCATTCCAGGTGGAGCCATTCCAGGTGGAGCCATTCCAGGTGGAGCCATTCCAGGTGGAGCCTTTCCAGGTGGAGCCATTCCAGGTGGAGCCATTCCAGGTGGAGCCATTCCCCACCCACCGCACACCCCAACCTGCTCCATGCCCCACCTCTCACCTCACACTGCACGCCCCACCTCACCTCACAGTGCTTTTTTCAGTCAGCTCAAACACCCACCTCACACTGGATGCCCAACCTCACTTCACAGTGATTTTTCAGTCGACCTAAACACCCACCTCACACTGCACACCCATGTGTGGCAGGCCCCCCTCCCCCCCTCCCCCTCCCCCCCCCTCCCCCTCCCCCCGCACCTACCCCATTCATAACATCCAGCTGCGCCTGCAGCTGCTCCATTGTCAGCTCCCCCAGCCCCTCCCCCGCGCCTCCCCCCATTCCCCCTCCGCCTCCCCCCATTCCTCCTCCGCCTCCCCCCATTCCTCCCCCGCCTCCCCCCATTCCTCCCCCGCCATCTCCCCTCATCTCCTCCCCGCCAGCCGCTCCCCCTCCTGTTCCCCCCGCACCCCCGGCGGCTCCCGCAAAGGGGAGGTTGGGCAGGTGGCGGGAGAGGAGGAGGCGGGCGAGGTCAGTGGGGAGGGAGGCCATGTCCGGGTGCAGGGCGGCCGCTGCTCCCAGTGACGCTGATGCTGATGCTGATGGTGTGGCCATGGGCGATGCTGTGCTGTGATGGGCCGACTGGGAGACAGGAGTAAAAGAAAAGAGGGCGGAGAGTGGGGAGAGGGGTGAGAGGGTGGAGAGGGGTGAGAGGGTGGAGAGGGGTGAGAGGGTGGAGACGGGTGAGAGGGTGGAGAGTGGTGAGAGGGTGGAGAGTGGTGAGAGGGTGGAGAGTGGTGAGAGGGTGGAGAGTGGTGAGAGGGTGGAGAGGGTTGGGGCGGCGGGATGGAAGAAGAGGGTGAGAGGATTGAAAGGGGAAAGGTGCCATATAGATAGAGAATAACATGGGACCAGAAGGGAGTATTTGGCATGGTTTAGATCCGACATCAGCAATCGTGAGAGCTGACATCAGCAATTGTGAGAGCTGACATCAGCAATCGTGAGAGCCGACGTGAGCGGGCCGTAGCTTGACATCCGAAGGCGTTACTGTTGACACGAGCAGGCTAAGAGCTCACATCAGTGGTCGAACAATTGAAGGTGGTTTTTGAGTCGACTGAAAAGGCGGAAGAGAGCTCACATCAGTGGTGGACCAATCGTGAGACTGGGAGCAGGACGGAGATGCCTGCCGGAACGATCCACCTGCAAGCGCAGCAGCAGCCACAGCAGCCGCACCAGCACTACCACCAGAACCACCAGAAGCACCAGCACCAGCCGAAGCACCAGCAGCAGTGGCACCGCCACCCATAGCAGTGGCATTTCCACCTCCACCTGTCCCCGTGCCAGCAGCAGCGGCAGAAGCGGGGGCGGACGGGAGTAGCAGCCCTCCCAGTGCTGCCATCTGGGCCGCACAAAAGTCGGCGGGTGAATCTGAGCCGTCCATCTCTGCAGTGTCCTGCTCTATTGCTGCTAGCTTGGCCGACAGCAGCTGGGGGGGTGACAGGGAGGGGGGTAGGTTGGGAGAATGGAAAAGGGGGGAAAGGAGGCAGAAAGGAAAAGGGAGAAAAGGAAAGGAAGGAGGGTTGGCAGAAAGGAAGCGGGGTGAGGTTGGCATGAGGAAGTAAGGGGTGGGGCTAGGGGGGCGAGGAGTGGAGAGGAGGCGAGGAGAGAACGAAGATTGCATAGGGTGGGGAGTTGAGTGAAGGTTCGAGTGGGCAAGAAGGATTGAACGCAAAATTCTTTGTGTGGGGCAGAAGGGAGAAGTGGATAAAGAGGGAGGAGAAAGGATGAATGAGTTTTTTGACAATTCCAAAAAAAAAGAGAGAAAGGAATTGAAGAGGAGGGTTTTGAGGCGCCTCAAAAATAGGATGGGAGAATGAGAATGGGGACCTCGACCTCCAAGTGCAGCGACTGCATGCAGTTGCTTCAACACTCACGCTCTCATGATTGCTACGTATTCCCTCAGACTCACCTCGACTTGCAGCTGCAGAGATCGCACATAGTTGATGATCTCATCCAGCATCACTGCTTTGCCTGTTGCCTGGTGCCATCCATGCCATACATGCATGCCCACCATGCACACCACCATGCATACATCCGTAGAAGGGGGATGGGCAAGAAACGAGAGGAAGCATTTAGATGCTACCCCTCCCACCCAGTACGAGGACCTTGCAGAGGCGCTTAAGGAAAGGCAGCCCTGCATGGCATGTTTAACTACGTATTGCGAGGGACGGCGGTAGAACAGTGAGCGCAGGTAGGAGAAAGAGGAATAGGGGAAGTGCGCACACCTTGGTGCAGGTGGGAACAAGGCTCTGCAGCACTTTCATTCGATCGCTGATCTTCTCCCGCCGCACCTGCACAGCACAGAACGGCAAGAGTTCAGGGTGGCAAAGCAAGTCAAGAGTTCAGGGTGGCAAAGCACGTCAAGAGTTCAGGGTGGCAAAGCACGTCAAGAGTTCAGGGTGGCAAAGCACGTCAAGAGTTCAGGGTGGCAAAGCACGGCAAGCCCCTTAGTGCTTAGCTGTGCCCCTTCATCCCAACCCACCGTCTCAACCTACCCTCCCCCCTCACCCCAACCGCCCCTCACCCTAACCTCCCCTCTCACCCCAACCTCCCCTCTCACCCCAACCCCCTCTCACCCCAACCTCCCCCCTCACCCCAACCCCCCTTCACTGCAACCTCCCCTCTCACCCCTGTGGCAGTCAGTGGCGCGCCCTGGCCCCACGCACGGGTGAAATGAATCCTGGTGCCCCACTTCCTCCTCCCCTCTTCCCTCACCAACCCTATCCTCCAAGGCCATCGCGCACCCTCTCTGTGAAGCTGCCTTACTTTCACCCACACGTGTTGACTTTTGAGTCGACTCAAAAGTCCTCCTCCCCTCTTCCCTCACCAACGCTATCCTCCAAGGCCATCGTGCACCCTCTCTGTGAAGCTGCCTTACTCTCGCCCACACGTCAATGTAGTGACCTGAATTCACAAACCCACACTCCCCGAAACTCCCCAACGCTCTCACTCACCCTGCTGTTACGTCGCTCATCTGCTCCGCTCCACCAGGCTATGCCAGGCAGATACCCTCCCTTTCCTCGTGCACACATGAATGTAGTCCTGGGGATCAACGCCCCCCCCCCCGCCTCCCACTTCCCCCCAACCTATCCCCCATGGACCCATCCCCCATGAAAACCGTCACGTCGCTCATCCGCTCCGCTCCACCAGGCTGTGCCAGTCAGTGGCTCGCCCCTGCCTCGCCCGCACATGGATGTAAGTCCTGGGAATTGTACCCCAGATCGCCCCTACCTGCTGCCCATCATCCTCCCCTTCCCCAACCCCGCAAATGCCGCCACTCACCCGCTCGGCAAGGCTGTGGCTTTCAGTGGCTTGGCCTCTTCTTGCCCGCACGTGAATGTAGTCCTGGCTCGATCTCTCCATCGCCCCCACCCTGGATGCCCCCCCCCCCCCAATCCCCTCGCCCTTCCCTTCCCCCAAGCCTTCTCCCAACCCACTTATGGAAGTCACTCACCCGCTCGGCAAGGCTATGGCTGTCAGTGGCCTGCCCTCGCCTTGCCCGCACGTGAATGTAGTCCTGGCTCGATGTTTCCATCGCCCCCGCCTGCATGCTCCCCCCCATCCCCCCGCCCTGCATGCTGTACCCGCCCCCCGGGCTCCCCCCCCATGCCCCTGCACTTCCCCTTCCCCCGCTTCCCGCGCCCCCGCCCCCTACCCCGCCCCCTCCGCGTCCCCCCAGGCGCGCCCCACCGTCCAGCGCGTCGTCTGGCTCCCTCTGCACTTGGGGGGAAAAGGGTGGCGCGGAGGGGACATGGGGGGAATGGGGGAGGCGGTGAGTGGGGGGGCAAGGGGTGCCTTGTGAGTCGACTCAAGTGTCTCCGCACCCCCTCAGGCGCGCTCCACCGTCCAGCGCGTCGTCTAATTCCCTCTGCACTTGGGGGGATAGGGTGGCGGATAAGACATCAGGGGGAAGGGGCAGGGCAGAAGCGCATGTGGGGGATGGGGGGGGCGCATGAGGGGGAGGGGGGAGGGGGTGAGTGGGGGGGGAGGGGGGGGGGGGGGGGGAACACGTGGTGCCTTGTGAGCCGTCTCCATGCCCCCCACGATGCGCCCCAGCCCGCCCTCCGGCTCCCTCTGCACTTGGAGGGCAGGGTGGCGCGCGGATGCGTGAGGGGGAAGGGTCGGGCGGTGAGTGGGGGGAACACGAGGGGGGAAAGGGGGACGGATTGGAGCCGGGGGAGAAGGAACTGGAGTGGGGGGGGTGACAGAGCTGGTGAGTGGTGTGCTGGAAGGACAGGCAATAAGACGCAGCAGGCACGAGCGCAGGCAGGCACGAGCGCAGGCAGGCACGAGCGCAGGCAGGCACGAGTGCACGAGTGACAGTGCGCAGGCAGACACGAGCACTGTTAGGCACATGATATTGATGAAGTGAATCTTCAAACGCGCCAGTACCTTGCCGCCTACGCCGCTCCTTCCAGCCACGTCAGCTCCCGCTCCCACTCCTCCCGGAGCTCTGCGTTTCTTCCTCTTGTGCCCCGCGCCCGTCCCACGCTGCCCGCTCTCCCCCTCAGACTCAGACGACTCCCCCTCGCCCGCGCGCTCCTCCATTCCGCTTCCCCCCGCGCCCCCGCTCATGTCCTCCGCCACAGGGGGGGGGCAACTGCTAGTGCGGGAGAGCTTCGTCCGCTCCCTTATAAGAGCCGCCATTGATGGTACAGTTGACGATAAATACCCTGCCATACTGCCACTGCCCATGCTCCCATTGCCCATGCTACCCATACTACCACTCCCCATGCTCCCTAGCAGCCGATGCATGTGCAATTCCCGGTCCGGGCTCGTTGCCACCGAGCCTACTGCCGAGCTTGTTGCCGAGCCTGACGCCGCACCTATGCTCTGGTACGGCAAAGTCAGCCCCACGTGCAGGGAGACGTCTGGTGACATGGCATCGGGGAGCAATCGGTACAGCCTCTCCAGCTCTGCCACGTCACCGATGCTGGCGAGAAGCGCGCCAAGTGGCGGCGCGCTGCTGGTCCGCGAGAGGGGGTTGTTGTCGTCTAATCGGCCGTCTAGCTGAGCGGCTAGCAGGCTTAACTGCGTCTGCAGACTCATACCGGGTATTCCGTTCCCACTGCCTCCGCCATTGCCGCTGCCATCACTGCTGCTATTCAAAGCAGCAAGCCCAGCCATTCCCCCCATTCCTGCCATTCCCGCCGTTCCCGCTCCCCCTACATTCCCCAACGCCCCCATGCCGCCTCCACCGCCAGCATAACCGCCCGGCATTCCCCCCAGCCCTGCGAGTCCCGCTGCGCCTCCCCCTGCTGCTGATCCCCCGCCCGCCCCTCCGCCCATCGCCCCCAGCATCAGCTGCTGCTGAATGCTCGCGGGCAAACCGGCTCTCGGCCAATGCCCCAGCGCGCCTGCCCGCGACCCGGAAAAGTTTCCTCTCGGGCTGCCCAGCTTGCCCGCGGCAGCAGCGGCGGCGTTCCCTTTAGGAGACGGCAGCGGCAAGGGCGGCACGCCATGCCCCCCTGCTCCGCGAGAAGATATCCCCGCTTTAGACGGATCCACTGTAAGAGATTGTAGATGACCAGGGCCACCAGCACCAGCTACCCCTCCTGACCACCCTGCCAGTCCCGACCCGCCCCGAACGAGACCTCCCCCAGGTACACCCCCCCCTAGACCTCCCCCTCCTCCAGCATCCCCGCCTGCTGCCAGCGCAGCTGCAGCAGCCGCAGCAGCCGCGGGGGAAAAGCCGGGGAACGCTCCAGCTTGCGCCGCGGGTGGTGCATTGGCGGAAGCGGTGACGTGGAATCCGAGATCCGCCGCGGCTTGGCTGAGTCGCGCTGCGCTGAGACTGAGCGTGCGCTGCTGGCTGAGGTTGCTCTTGGTCCGATTAGGGTTCGCCTCCTCGTCGCGACTGAAGCGGGACGGTGAGTGCACCGCTGCAAGTCGCAGCAGAAGGGGGGTTTGGAATAGGGGGGAGGGGGAGGGGGGGGGGAGGGGGGATTGAGTGGACTTTTGAGACGTCTCAAGAGTCGAATGCTCGCTGAGGTTGCTCTTCGTCCGGATAGGGTTCGCCTCCTCGTCGCGGCTGAAGCGGGACGGTGAGTGCACGGCTGCATGTCGCGGCGTGCGGGGCGGGCAGAGGAGGGGGGGTTGGGGAGGAGGTGTGTGGGGGGGAGGGGGGAGGGGAGAACGGAGCAGAAGGACCGAGACTATAAGTTGGGAAGCCAAGACAAAAAAAGCGTGACAGCAAGTGCAAGGCTGGAGATCGGGGGGGGAAGGGGGGAATGGAATGAAATCAGCTAAGAACGAACTGAGGAAAGGAGAGAGGAGGGATCTCTCTCAAGAGGAGCTGAACACTAGAGAATGAGGTGAGGAGAATGAAGCCTACGCATCATTGGCAAAAGAACAGCAGCAAATCTAGGCGTCTCTTGAAATTTCTGCAAAAAAGAAAAACAGGTCCCAGGATCACGAAGGTCGGACGCCTACAAAGTCCCTGGCGCTGTCTCGAGGTGAGACACGCCGGGAAAGACGGAGGCGTAGCTCGGGGCGAGTAGCCCCATTCGGAGTGACCTCTGAGTCGACTCAGAAGTCACCTCGAGGAGCGAAACGCAGGGAAAGACGGCGGCGTACCTCGAGGCGAGTAGCCCCATTCGAACGCCATGTCGGGGTGCATCTGCGCGCCGTCCCTGCTGGTTCCTCCCCCGCCCATGCCGCCGGCTGGGCCGCCTGACATTCTTTCAGCTAGTCGTGGTAACGCTGTCGGTCGTGTAGGTATTAACGCTCGGAACGAACCCTCGGAGAAACGTCGCGGGACTGACGGAGTTATCTGTTGAGCGGCTAGTGCGTTCAAGTGCCGCAGTAGTGAGTAGTTCTACTGGTGCGAATTGCGAAGTTTCTACTATCACACCGTCAAAGGAAACTCCAGGAGCTTGGCGACTGCCAAGTTAGCTGCTAAGACGACCACCTTTTGAAGACTGCCTCTAGGCGTGAGATACGGAAGTTCCTGTATCTATATGCTAGCGAGACCAGATGTGTGCGTGTGGAGCGAAATGGTCAACTACTGCCCATGTCACGAGCTGCGACTGCGGCGACGGGAATGACACGTGTCAACCTGATATAGACACGTGCTTTCTGACAGGTGTCACTTGAATGCTACTAACATAGATTAACTTGGGTTACGGATACCAGGCTAATGGGTTACGGATGCAAGAACTACAGAAACAGATTGCGAGATCGACATTGGACCCGAGGGTCTGATAAATAAGCCACGGAGCAGAGAAAAAGGGATCGATGAGATCCATCTAGGACCTAGTGACGAGTGTCATAAGAAACGCTAGAAAGAGATGTACAGTGCAGGTGTAGGTTGCGCTTGGAACAAGAAAGGCTGCTGTGAGGAGGATGAGATGAGTGGGAGGAAAGCAAGGTTGGCTTGGCTTGGCCGCGCGAAGAACTTGAGAGCACCTGGGGATGGGAATTGGGATTGTGCTGTGGGCTCTGGGGGGTTCTTTTCGTTGGTGAGGGCTGTCCGAGGGATTGCCGGAATCGAGTGAATCGTTGATGCGATGATGGGAGCAGCTGTTGTGGTGATGGGCAATGGTGGCATTCATAAACGCGTTCTCCTCCAGTCAACCTGGCAATCAAGCAACTGGGAATCCCAAGACGTAGATTTTCGCTCTGTGTGATTATCTTGACGCGGAAACAAGCAATGGAATCATGCCACAACAGATTCTGCCTTATATATTTTCACACAACGGGCAGTACCCCATGCATGGTTAATGTAGAGCCGAGAGCCGTTTAGGACGGGTTCCAATTTAGAGAGGGTGTTGTTATAGATTCCAGTCGTCGTGTTCAGTAACTGGGAGTCTTCGAGATCGCCACATTACAACACCAGTTATAGCCTCCAGCCTCTAAGTATCGCATAAAGCAAAGCTTGAGGTAGTCACTTTTCTGGGTGTTATGATAGGTGTGGTTTTTCCTCGACTCAACTCTCCTTTGCGGGGTTAACCTCCGTGCCTCACTTTTCTGATGACGTACGAATGCTCCCTCCGTCAACTAGGTGTTGAAGCGTCCAGATTATTCGAACTCACAGTAATTATCTTACAGAATCGAATCTACACAGCTTCCTAGATGTGGAGATTTCTTACAGGAAATGAGTTCGCCTTCGCGTCTCGGTTGGAACACAATATCTTGGAACCTCAAGTTCTACAGTGCAAGCTCGCTCAAAGCTTAATTACAAGAAGCGAGTGAAGTGTAGCATGCTAAACATAGATATCAGTGACAACGAGAAACAAGTCACATTGCTTATTGGCCAAGCTCACGGAAAAAAGAGCTGAGTTGCTGCAACCCAATAAGAGCAAGGTCCGCAGCCAAAAACACAACAAGCTGAAACAAGGCACACGAAAGGATACCATTAGATCGTTGATAATCAACACTGTGAAAGGAAGCTTGCGTACTGCAGAGCTACTACATACCAGTCGGCCAAAGAAGGTGGCACGGTACTGCCATCCCTCAGTTTTTGCAAGACGGCGTTGAGGATCAGTCCAGCTGCACAAAGCGAACCAAGAAGAGGTAGGTCAGGGCTGCCATCGCAAAAAGGCTGACACAACATTTCCCACAACATATGCATACCCAATGAATTCAGACATGCCTCCAATGCCCGCCAGCTGAAGCGGAACAGGACCCTCCCGCTCGAAGTCCTGTAATCACAACCCGACACAGTGCAACTCAGCAATACAGTTATCATAAATAACTCAGGGTTGAAATGCATTGCATCATCTTACATGTCTGTACTGACGTCAAGAATGTGAGAAGGTAAAGAGCAGGAATATGGAAAGGCAACACAGGGCAAATTGCAGAGATGGCAGTAACAGGGATGTCAACGGGAAACTTTTCAGGTACCTCATCGCTGGCAGTGTCGAAGCCACCAGTTAGCCAATAGATATTTCTATAGCCAGCCTTGTAAAGGTGCTCACATGCTGCAAGAGACCTGTAAGTAATAAATTGCAGAACGAAAAGTTTAGTGTCAGTTAAGGGCAGGTGCATCAAAAGACCCCCAAATACACCCTGACTCTGGAACAAGGAACGCAAATGCCTACCTCAAACCCTTCTGGCACGCAACTATGATGTTGGCACTCTTGGGAATCTTAGCCACAACGTCAGCCATAAATCGCCTGGAAAAAAAACGAACAAAAGGCTGTCATATCAAGACTACAGGAAGAACCCTCTCTACCAGGGAAAAGTAACAAGAAGCGAAGAGGGTTGGGAAGGAACAGGCGATCAGAGCTTCCTAGGCAAGGCTACGGATGTCAATTGCTCTTTACCAACTAGAGTTAAGGATATCACTTGTAAGGAGCAACTTACTCGTTTCTTTTGTTTACTGACGCTCCAGACCACCATCCTCCTGAAATGGCACAAAAAATGACAAAAGTTGGCGAAGTGTACCATAAAAATTGAGGGCATGTGACATGTCAGCCACAGCAGCGATTCGTCTGATTCTTCTGATACAACGTGAGACTAGTCCAACTTAGATTGTGCGTTCAGTATTGCGCAAGTGTGTTCACGATAACTATATTTCATTGTAACTGGAGAAAATCAACAATCACAAAAGGCCTAGAATCATGTATTCCCCCTAACAAAAACTGAATCCCCCAAGGCACTCACCCATCATGAAGGTCATCACTTTCTGGGACAAGACCCCTGGGCTGGCACTGTTGTCGACGTCGAAGGCAGGAATCCACAGGGAGCCCTTTACCCAAGCCTGGCCCCAATGAAACCCAAAAGCGGGTTGGCAAAGCAGAGGAACGACTTGGAATTGCAAAAGTAAATCTTTAATTTACTACGCCACGGTACGCGAAGGTTGTCAGAGCAAAGAGAACCGACGGATTGCAACCCGACTAACCTTGTTGTGCTGATACGATGGTCGCACGTCAAGGAGTACGTAGTCGGACAGCTGGTAAGTATACCCCGCTTCCTTCGCAGACAGTGACTTCACCTTGCCCTCGGCAATCTGCAGAAACAGCAATTTGAGAAATTATTCCCTAGATATGCAGGAAAAGGACATCCGGAGAACAGTCAATAGACACGTACCTGAGTCCTCCACCGTTTCTCAGCATTGGCAAACTCCACCATTTCCTCTTTTAAATCGGTCGCTGCCATAATCTGCAGATTCTGTGTAGAAATCAGAACCGTAAAACCGCAAATTCAGGAGGGGAGGCGATTGAAACAACATCGCAAACTTGGCCGACACGATCTAGCCACTATATAAAAAAAAACCCTTCAAGGCCAAGCTCTGCCAACTACGACGTACTTTTCTCTGAAAGCTGCGGCTCGATGCGTTAGCCGAGGCACGTCTAGAACGAATCTGGAGGGCAGGAAGGCCATAAACGCTTGACGATGAGCAAGCGAGGGAGGATTTTCCTGCGGCTGTGCACGCAGTAGGAACGACCAAAGACGCGCCGCTAGCTAGCGCCGCCATTCTAGCAGTCCCAACAAACAGACGAGAGAGCAAAGTTCGCCGGAAAAATCGTACGTCCAAGGCGAGCAAAGAACAGTGAGGATTGTAGACAACTGCCAGTTAGAGTCTACGGAATCTGAAGCTAAATTACGTCGTTCATAGAGAGGCAAATCCGAGACTGGGATCAACAATGGCAATTTGTGAGAAAAAGGCGCAGGGTGGATGGAGAGTCAAGCCAGATTACTGCAGCAGGCGAAAAGGAAACCTGCTGGGTTCTGGTTGGGCAGGGTTGGATTCAACAAGGGCAGTGAAATCCAAGCTGTCCGACGTGGCGGAGAATCATACCTGGAGATGTTTCCAGGGCGATTCGCTTTGGAACACTTCCGCTCCACGTCGGCACAGAATCACACAGCTTGCCAAAGCAAGAATCTCCAAAAGTGCACTTTCCTTCCGTATAAGCAAATGCACATTAGTGTACAGTCCGTCACAACTTATCACGCAAAAAGTGCGTGCTTCAGGAACGTGCAAGTTCGATATTCCAAAGCTGACCAGCTTCTCTCAACCTGCATTCAAGCTTCGAAACAAATTTATCTGTATCCAGCATTGTGCATTCAAGCATCCCTCCTGCATAGCAGCAGCTTGTTAGGCATTTGCTGCTTGCCCTCGCGTCTTCGCAATTCCGATTGCTGTCCGTAGCTTCGTCCCTCATGGCATCGGCCCTGGCCCCTGCTGCACTTCTCCAGAGCGCTTTCCTCGGCAAGGATCTCAGGTGAGGTAACGGTAACAATGACGGTAAAGGTAACGGTAACGGAGCTTAGACTCCAATGTCGGCGGACTTCGGAGCGCCGTCGAGCTTCGTTACTCCCTTGCTTGCATCCGCACGCGTGAACTGAAACTGCCATCGTCTACACGACATCTTAATCTCGTTAAACCTGCGTTGATTCGCTGGCATGCGATATGTCACCCGCGGTGCTCTGTGCCTGCCTGCTTGCCTGCCTGTGCCAGGCGAGGTTTCGCTGGAATCTCTGTCCGTCCGGCATCGCTGGGCCTGCGTGCGTGGAGTTGTGGATCTCAGCGTGTCGTCGGTGCCTCGTCACGAGTGAGTGTATGGCGGAAATTTCGGGCCATGAGAACAGACGGAACACGGATCTCTAGCCAGCGTCAGCGCGCGTTGCATGATCAACATTCCTTTCGGCTCCTGAAAGATGTCCCGTCGATTTGGGATCAATGCCCCTTCGCTGTGCGATAGACCCCTCGTCCGTGCATGAACGATATCACTT